AAATTATAACTCGTTAAATATAAATTAAATAAAAAATTTAAATTAAGTGTAAGTGTCAAATGTAAAAATTTATATATATATATATATATATATATATATATATATATTATAACATGTTATACAAATATTCAAACCAGCTTACATTAGTCATAGTAATAATATTTTTGCTGAACATTTTTGGTTTCGTTCATGGTCTGTGGAGATTACCACTCTCATAATAGGAAGCTCTACTTTATTTGACAAGCTTTAGTTATTTGCAGTTTCTGATTTTGTTGTTTGGTTAAGTTTTAATTTTTATATAAACAAATTTAAAATATTATATATATATATATATATATATATATATATATTAAGTCTCACATTTAAATATTTTTATGATGATAATTATAGAAAAACTTTAAAAGAATCAATATATTTTAGGGTTTTGTTAATCTCAACTTTAAGAATTAAAAATAAATAGCTAATAATAATATTATTAAAAAAATATTTATTATACTTTTATAATTTTAATATAATAACTATATTTTTTTTTATAGAAAAATTCTATTTATATATGCTTAAACTCACTGAGATTAACAAAACTCTATATTTTATCCACAAAGAATGCTTTGATAATCAATTGAAGGATTTAAAAAAGAAGAAACTTCATCAACTGTATCTTCTTAATAAAAGAAATGTTAAGATGGCATTAGGGAAGGTGGTAAAAAGATATAGCAAATAGTTTTAAAAAGGCTATTTAGATAAATGTAGTGGCACTGAAAAAAGTAACAGACACGAGACTGTCATGAAATTTGGTTTATTTAATGAAGTAATTTCTAAAGGCTATTTTGAATTATGGAAATAGTTTTAAGTTATTTTCACAAGTGAGCACAACACCTAATTAATAAATACATGGCATCAATTTTAGACTTTAACTATTTATTTATTGTGTCCATAAGTACTAAATTTGGTATTATAATTAGGGTTGACATTTTTTTTTGTAACGGTTGCACAGATGCCTCTTTTTCATTTCAAATTATCCAATAACCATTAGCCTTGAAGTCGTCTAAATAAGATTAAAAAAAATAAAAAAAACAAAGCTTCAATTCTTAAAATTTTTTTGTTAACATTTGAATATATTGATATTTTATTTGTTTCATTATTATAATTTTGTTATTTAAATAATATATTATTGATATGTATTAGCTATTTTAATTATTAAACAGTATATTATTAATATTATGAAGGATGTTATTGTCTATTTGATGAAAAAAATATTTTTCTTTTCTATTCTCTATCCATCAATATAAATGAAGAGAAAAAAAATTTCCTATTCATTTTCTTTCATAACAAGCAACTTCTAAGTTTATTTATTTTCTCAACATTTTCTTTCTCAAACCCAATAATATATAGGTTTTTATTTGATAAAATTTTCCCACTAATCCAATAATTCTTTTTTATCGTTAATTCTTATATGACTACTATGTTTCGGCCCACTAAGTTTTACTTAACTAGTAGCTCTTACAAATGTACATAATTCTCGTTGACAAAAAAAAAACATAATTCTCATACTAGACAAAAAAAACAAATGAAGATAATTTTAATTTCAGATAGATTAAAACTTGGTTGACCAAAATTTTATAAAAAATGGTAGATTAAAACTTGTTTTTAAAGTCAATTAAAACTAAATATATGTATTTCCATTTTGTAATAAGTTATGAGAAGTGATCAACCTAAAATTATATTTACTCTGCTGTTTGATTTTTATTTATTAAATGATTTATTTTAAAATTAAACATTAGATTAAAAATTTATATCATATAAAATATATTTATAAAATTTTTATTATCACATTCATATTATTAAAAATAATGTAATATATATTTAAAATATACATATATATAAGAATAATTTGATTATAATCTTCTAGTTATTCAAATTTTGCATGATAGAAACTCTTCAGTTGCATTGTTATAATTCTAGATTAACAATAGGATCAACAAAAATTATATTTTATATAAAATTATAAATAATATAAGAATAGGTGTAGTTTACAACAATGTAAGTAAATCCTCTTTATGAGTGTGCATATCACATCACGTGATACTAGGTGTGAAACTTAATAAAATAACACTTCTAATAACATTTTATCAAAAAGAAAAATTTATCAATTCAATCAATAAATCTAAAAATATCACATAATAGATTGAATTCATAAATTTCATACAATTTAAAAATATTATTAATATTTTTTTAAAAATATTAGTGATTTGATAAACTAAATCGAGATGCATTGTTAAAGAGAGAAGCTTCTTAGATTATAAAATATAAAAAAGTAAGAAGAAAACTTAAATACAATGCTTTAAGTTGTTATTCTTCAATTAAAATTCAAGCTTTACCTGAAAAGTTAATACTAATACCTAATGTAAATTTTTATTGCATAAATTATCAAAGCAAAATTTCAACTAAAGACGGCCAAAAACTCTTATCGATGTATCAAAGTTATATATATATATATGGAACCACTGAATGCATGAAATAATGAGGTTATTGTTTTTTTAATGTCAAAATTACTCTCTTTTGTTTGATGTCTCAGATCTTCTTTCCAAAAGGCTTTTATGTTAAAAAAACTTTGGTCCATGACACATTATCTCTACTTTTTCTAGTTTACAAGTGCAAACCACCCTTGACAAAAAAAAAAAAATACATACCGTTTAATCCTCTCCGGTGATAACTTCCGCCAACTGAAAAGGCAAAGAACTAATGGTTGGGTTGGAAATACACTTCTGTATTTTTAGAATTATGTTCATCGAATGCAAACGTGTTTAGATTATCCTACCAGCACATTTTAGTTGATTTGAGTAAAGGTAAAAATTTTATCTCTTCCATTAAATAAAAATATTTATAATAAGTTTTATTATAAACTTGTTTTTTTTTTATAGAATTTTTTAAATATAAATTACACCACATTTAACTCACTTTAAAATAAAATTAATTTTGTAAAACCAAGTGTATTCAAATCCGAACATACAGCTACTCGCCCTGACACATAGTCATTGGAGATGATAACAGGTGGAATGGAGTTTCGGCGGGCAAAATATTAAATCCATACAAAGCATGGAGACATAGGTTAGATAAAATAGAGTAGATGTAATGGTTGTTTAAAGAAGAGTTAACAAATCAATTCTCACCTTTTTAAATGCAAAACACATTCCAATAAAAAATGTGTAATTTGGATTAATTTATGCATGTATCTCAATCATATTTAATGACTTAAAATCAATTTCACTCAACTTCAAACCAAACAAGCACACAATTCGATTGCACAACTCAAACTAAACTGACCTAATTGGTTCAAATCGGGTGACAAAACCATGCAAACAGCAAAGCTAATAGAAGGGCATTCATCCGATCTTACCTGGGTAGCCACGCCGCCATCTGAGTTTCTCTCTTTTGGGTCTAGCAATTCGGACTCAAGGACAAGTAGTGGTCTTGTAATGACCCCTAAAGCTCATCCAATTCGATGGATAGCTAGATTCGCTATTTCAGGCGCTACACAATTCCCCTTCACTCAAAACACAATTCTGCAATTCCCGAATTCCTCCTCTATAACTATAAGATCAAGACAAGTAAAATCCAACAAAACCATGTCCCACCGCAAGACGCTAACAACATGGCAGGGGCGTCCGCTATTAGTGCAAAGGTTAAAATGCGGGTATCGAATTTGAGCTGCCTGAGACGAATGGCCAGCTTGGTAGAATAAAATAGAATTTAGGCTATAGTTATGTCACACACAAAAATTGATTTACGACAAAACAGTTACGCAGGGTCAAGTATGGCCCAATAAGGGACAATCCAACTTGGAAGAAAATAAATACATCTTTTAATTACAGCTAGACTTTAATGCTTTTCTGGACTGACCGTTGATCCCCAACCAAGAATAGTGTGTACATCTCAGATTTCGTTGATTTCTCATTGTGCCCTCTCAGATTTCTTTCATTTTACATTATCCAAACAATATTTAAAGGCACATCCCTCGTATCAAACAAAAAATTTAAACCGAGGCAATCAATGCAAGGAGCACACGTTGACCATCAGATATACCTCGTTGGATGGTTTCTATTTTTATTGCCTAAATCTAAACAGTTATAATTGAACGGTCTAATATTTTTCCACATTGCCAAAAGAAGGTACATGATCAACATTTTTTGGGCAGTTGTAATTGAATGATTACTAAGCGATCGAGAAACGGTGTATATTTCAAGTTAAAATCACATGAAAACTTGTTAGACAATCATTTACATTGTTTTTCTTTTTTATTTAACAGCCATAACGAAAGTCACAAAGCTCCACTAGAGGGAGATGTCACTTGAAGCGAACTAAACCATGCTCTCAAAAGCAACATATCGAGATCTATACAACAAAGCAAGATCAGGCAGCAACCAAAACCAACCAAAAGGTGTAGGTAGAAAAGGCGTGAGGAAATGAACGAGGTAACAACTGCTCATGTATGGTTTAGTTCACAGCACATATAACAAAAATACATAATGCATACCATATTCACCAAAAGTCAACGAAAAAACAAGTATTAATCTCACAGCTAAGTCCACTTAAAGTTTGAATGAGCAAAGCCAATCCAACAAAACAATATAGAAAACACCGGAAAAAAAAAAAAAAACTATTAAACAAGAAGGTACATCCTCTCGCGATGCAAGGGGGCGTTCGAAACTTGAAAGGTGACAAATTGACAGGAAAATAATGTATAGAGTGGTTCCAAAAGAAGAGACTGGTGATCATGCAGCAAGTAGAATTTAAACTAACGCCATGCAGAAAGTATTGCATTTCAGGGGAGTGGAGTTCAAACAGAGGTATTCACTATTACAAACAAACGGTAACATAGATGTCTTTCTTTTTCTCAAAAAAATTAACAGAGACAAATAATATCAAATCAAATGCTACCGGAATGATTGCGCAGCCTGATCCCAAGCACACACGAAAACTTGGACATAATAACCATCAACTTTGATATTCGACAATAAAATAAACTTGATGAATATCCATAATGCTTAATTTCATTCTCTACTAGTCATAAACACAGATCACTGAATCAGCAATACAAGGGACAAATGTCAATCTCAGCCCCCAATACACAGCTAATATAATCCAAAGAAGGGTAAGACAATTAAACAGGGCAAAGTAACATAATAATGATAGTAATAATAATTACCTATTAGCAGTACAGTACAGCACATACCCAAAAACAAAACCTGCCTCACTCAACATGAATCGAACAATGAGTGATAATGTGTCCAAAAATGAGATCAGCGGTTGAATCAGTTCTGGTTTTCGTTCTTCCTTCCACTCCCATCCCCGTCTCTCTGTTCCAACAACCTTCCAGCCTCTTCATCAGCCTGTTGAGCCTTCTTCTGAGCCTCGGAAGCCTTAAGAGCCTGCAACTTGGAATGATTATAGTAGCCAACCCCCAAAAACGCCAACCCATAACCAATCAAATTAACAGGCGTGACAGTGTCCTTTATCACAGACCAAGAGAAAGCAATCAATAGCCAATCCTTGACCACCCCAGCAACATTCATAGTCAAAGCCGAAGTCTTTCCAACCAGCAAAAACACAGCAAGATTCAACGCAAAAGCACAAGCGGAATTAGTCCCAAAAATTGTAAAATCCAAATGGAAGCTGGAATTATCCCTCAACGAAGGGTACTCCATGATAATCCAAGGAATAGACAAAAACACCAAACAACACGGAGCAATGTAATAAAGCGAGGTAATAGGGTTCAATGAAATTCCCTTTGAATTAAGCAAAATCTGGATCAAAACCAACCGAGTAGCCTCAAACGCAACCGCCATAAGCTGAAGGGTAACACCCCAAGCATCAAATTTAGCCTCACCATAAGCAGCAATTGCAACCCCTAGCGAAATTGAAACCATGTTAGCCATGGTTTCGTTCTTGAACGTCTCCTTCTTGAACAAAACCCCAATCGAATAAACAGCGACAGGCATAAGAGCCTTGAGCATCTGAATGAAGGAAACAGAGAGGTATATATACGCGGAATTGGAGAACCATAGAGAAAGGGAATAGAGAGCACCGATTGGAACAACGGATTTGAGGTATAGATCACGTGACATGGAAACGGGTTCCACCATCTTCAAGACACGAACGAGAATGTAAGCGAGGGAGGAACAGAAAGCCATGTGAATCATGGTGAGCGAGATCGGGTACGGCCAGTTGTACATCTTCCGATCTAGAATGTACTTGTTGTACACGATCACCGTGAAGCTCAGGAAGATCCATACCGCCACGTAGGTGTAGGAGAGAACGATTTTCTTCACCACGCCATCGGAGACCGCCATTTTCTGTTGGAACCCCGAACCCAACCCTAACCCTAGGTAGGTAGCGGTGCTGTGGTTTGATCCGGAAGGGGTATCGGCTTTTCAAGAGCGTCGGAGAGGGAGATCTGGCGGAATTTCAGGTGATCAGCATTCAATGCAATTCGATTTGGATCTCCTCCAAATCTTAAACCAAGCGATGACAGGAAACTGAAATCCAATACCCAACACCGAAAACTGAATAATAACAATAATAATAATATTAACCACTATTTTATATTTGAGGGTTCCACTTTGAGTAGAGAGTAATGGATGGTTTTTTTATTATGCCATGTAATAATAATGTAAGGTGTCACTTTCTAATAGACTTGGGCTGTTTAACTTTGATGGGCTTTCCTTGTTTGATATCCAACACCAACTACGTTAGATAGGTGTCATTGATTTAGGTGACGTTTGGTTCTGTAATTTCCATTTTCAAGGGTTTACTTGCAAATGGAATGTAGAAACGGGCCTTGATTTCAACTTTGATTGGTATTCCGCGGAGTTGTGTGTGTAATTGAGATGCCAATTAATTGATTTAAGCATTCCAAGTGGAACCAACAATTTTCGGAGGAATGTAAGGAAACAGTGACCTAAAGCCGGTTAATTCGTCTTAATTGTAACGCCAATTGGGTGGTAAAGCAGCATTGGGGCAAGCAAGAGAAGTAGACAAAATAATCATCAAGTGCCCTATCACGTGGCCAAGTCAAGTTTCAAATTTTGGATTCGAAGCATTTTCGCGTGTTTGACGAGTTGTTTCACATGGAATAGCTGACTTTGAGCGCGCTTCTTGTGACTTCTACGACGACACATCAAGTTTTAGGTTCACCGCAATCACCACCCTTTGCTAAATTTGCACTCTTTACACTCAAAATTAAAGTTCAACCACCTTTTTTCAATTAATTTAAATATATTTTAATTTTACACTCGCCTCAAATTAAGCTCTTTTAAAAAAAACCCATTATAAAATTAAAAAAATATATAAGTTTTAAGCTATCAGTTAACATTTGTTGAAGAAAAAATAGAAAATAATAATTTAACGTATCTTTTATTAAAGGAGAGCATGTTGTGGCCTTTAAAAGAACAAGGAAGAAAAAGATAACAACAAATTGAAGAAACTCTCTCACACGCCTTCCCTTTCCTTTAAATGAGGTGTTAATTTTTAATATGATGATGGCTAGATATTGACAAGCTATTCATTTAATCCTTACGTTTGCATGTCCCCTTTTTTGTTACTATATTTGTTTTCGATCATTATAGTGTTGTCATTATTAAAGTAAAGTAAAGGGTTTTAAATTTCTAAATGTGTTTTTTTCTGTTCATAATTTTGTCTTTACTTAATAGAGTCATTAATAGTGAGAAAAATAATTAATACAGTGTTAAGTTTTTAAAGTAGCAAAAATTTAAAATCTTGAAACGTGTAGAATAGTATTTGCAACTGATATCGTGATTCAGATATTTGTGGAAGTGTTAAATACTTTGGGTGTTTGTTGCAATAAATGTTGCTTAATGTCCTGATTTAGGTTATTTAAGTCATTTTAATATGTTACGCTCATTCTTATATAATAAATTATTCCACACAGTTGTTTTTGGCCAGATAATATAACCTGAATCTTCTAAGAAAAAACAATAAAATATCAATTATGATAATTTATAAAATAATCTTATATCTTAAAATATCAATCATGTAACCTTAACTTATTTTTTTTATGAGAAAAAATGAAACTGAAAAAGCAAACACCTACGTTGCAATATATTAACCAATTATTTTCGTATATTTCACATACGGTAAATTAACCAACTATCAAATCATCGGATCCGGATTGTCTCCAGTTTAGGCGGGAACTGGACTTCCAATTCTTTTTTCGCTTAAGTGAAAAAATTTGCTTAAACAAAAATAACTTATTTTTGCTTAAAATCATGATAAAATGGGTTAAGCCAATTTTCATAAAACAAATGGCTTAAGCGAAAAAAATGGTTTAAGCGAAAATAATAGGCTTAAGCGAAAAATGGACAGAGAGTTTTAATTTTCACTCAATTTTCTTTTCTCCTTCCCCCTAAACATAATATTTCCTCATCAACCTCCATATTCAACCTCCTTTAACCTCTATATTCAACTTTCTTTTTTCTCTTATACTTAACTCTTCTCTTTCCCTCCTAACCCTCTTTTCCTTCAACCTCATACCTAACTTCTCTCCTCCTCTTCTCATTCTTACATCACTAAATACCTATCTCTCCCTTTTTTCTCTATACTCAACTCTTCAATTTCCTCTTCTTCCACCGTCAATACTATATCACCCGCTCTCCTTGTCTACATCTATTCTTAATTCTTTCTTTTCTCTACACTCAGCCTTCATATCTTCAAACACACAAAATTCACTTAAGATAAAATAATTCGCTTAAGCGAATATACAATTTGCTTAAGCCTGAAAAATTAGCTTAAGCTAATTTTGTATAAAAAAAAATTTGGCAGTGGAAGAAGAAGAAAGTGAAAAGTTGAGTATAGATAAAAGAGGGAAAGATAGATATTGGGTGAGGTGAGAATGAGAAGAGGAGGAGAGGAGTCAAGTATGAGGTTGAAGGAAAAAAGAGTTAGGAAGAAAAGAGAAGAGTTAAGTATAAGAGAAAAAAGAAAGTTGAATATGAAAGTTGAGGAGGAAATGTTATGTTTAAGGGGAAAGAGAAGAGAAAATTGAGTAAAAATTAAAACTCTCTGTCCATTTTTCGCTTAAGTCTATTTTTTTTCGCTTAAGCCATTTGTTTTATAAAAATTGGCTTTAAGCTATTTTGTCATAATTTTGAGCGAAAATAACTCATTTTCCCTTAAGCGATTTTTTTTGCTTAAGCAAAAAAAGAACTGGAGGTCCAGTTCTGCCTAAACTGGGGACAATCCGGATCCCAAATCATCTTAACCAGTAATACATTTATATACAATCGCAAATTAAATTTATTAATTTTCTGTGGAACACTTTTTTTTATCTAAGAAATTAAAAGTGCGTGAATTTGTGGTTGTAGAAAACCAACCAAGTGAATCAATTTGGATTAGTGGTCGAAACCTGAACTTGAAATATGAACACAATTGTGACTTTTGAGCTAGGTCCATAAAAGGAACAACCAAACTGCTACATATTTGTGCCAAATAATGAAGAGATTAGTTATTACTTATTAGCGTACCTGCACCTTGTATCCATATGTAGGATTTTTGTTTGTTTGTTTGCTTCTTGAGAAGTGCTGAAAAATAAAAAAAAAGTTACGCATTGATTATAAATAAGAGAATTAAAAGATATATAAATGAAACGTTACAACTCTAAATTGCTCCAAACATTATAAAAATAACAATAACTTTAAGTCTAAAGCCATGAAAAGAAAACAAATATATTTTGATCTTATGCTGAACTAAGTTAAGTTTGTTAATTTAACATGGTACCAAAGCCCGCATAACTTAAGAATAAAATTTAATATTATTTTAATTTTATGCACAATTATTATTATTATTATCATTATAAAAATTGTAAATAAGTCTCTAAATAAAAAAAATTTTAAAAATAATTTCTGAAGTTAACTTCTATAATAAAATTATTATTTTATATTTACTGTTTTTTTAATTTTTATTCGTAATATATTTTTTATTATGGTCCTGATATTTAACATAATATTTATTTCAATCTTTATACAAAATTTTTAATCATATGGATCAAATTAAAAAAAAATCATAAAGGACTAAAATAAAATAAAATAATTTTATATGTAGATATAAAAAAATATTATCAAACTTTAACAATGCTATACTGATTTATAATATATTTTAAAAGATTATTTAATAATAATTTTATGTATAATGAGAATGTGATACTTGAGATTTAAATAAAAAATATTTTGTTTTTAATGAACAAAACTTAAATAAAATTTTTTAAGTAGTAATATTTAATTAAAATTAAATTTTTACCTCAATAACTAACATACTAAATGTCAACATTAAATATTGATACTAGTTGCAAAGACAAATATCTATATTTTTAATTAAAAATACACTAAAAATATTTAAAGTATTGAATATAATTTTTTTCCTTTCAACTTTGTAAATAATCTCTCAAGATGTACCAAATGTATAACATCAAAATATTTTTTTTACCAAACTCTCATGTACCAATATTTTATGACAATTTTCATAACTACATAAAGTTGTAATTATATTATGTAAAGTTAGTAAACCACCATTTATACTTATTAAGTTCATCATTATCTCTTTATGTATTATATTGTTAAGAAGATTCAAAAGAAGACCTAAAATCCATTTAGAAAAAAAATAATATAAAAAACCATATTTTTTAAAATGGCAACCTTGACCTCAATATGAGGCCTATATAAAAAAAGAGAGACACATGAGCTCAGAGGATAAATAAAGACATGCGTCATGACTAAAATTTAAATATGTGTCTAAAATATTTTCACATATTCTAAAATATTTTACTCGATTTTAAAATTATATATCCCAATTTTAAAAAAAGACATTTTGTACATTTTCAACAACGAACTAAATTGGGCTCAAAGGAAACCCATTGTTGGTGGATGTATCAGCTTGTAATTGTTTGGGTCAGGACAGCAGCAAGCAGGCTTTGCATTTGTAGACCTCTGCCGCCAAATGTTTCAGGCCCCAACTGCGAAAGATAATACATAATTACTTAAATAAAAATTTAAATTTAGTTTAACTCGTAGTTTTTTAATCCAATGTTTTCTTATTTCGACTAAATTAAAATATTGTTATGCATTCCAATTTTTTAACTTAAAATGTTTCAAACTACAGTGATAAGTTTAAAATGACAATCAAACAAAAATTTTCGCATGTATAAGCATACCTATTTGTATAAGTATGTGTTTTTGTGAGTTAGATTAAATTTTCATAGTAACACGTTTTCAAGTTTAAACTCAACATATATATTACGTGATATCTTTCACATCCAGTAATTTGACGACGAGCTTGTCTTTATTTTATTTATGCAAATTACATCATTCTCTAATAAACATTTTTCTATACAATGACTTGCATAAATAATAATATATTTCAAAGTGGGTAACGATTCATAACCTCTGTTAATTTGAATGATAAAAATAGTTTAATTAGCAATAACACAAATGCTACATGGTATAAAGAAAACATGCAAATGATTAATTTGGATTGAATTTGTAGGGCTGCAGGCTTAATATAGATTATAAGATACTTCTTAATAAAACAATTAATTAGAGGCCTGTTTATTTTAAAGCATGCGTGTTTCTCTCTCTCTCTCTCTCTATATATATATATATATATATATAGCATGTGCTTTTAACAGCCTCCTCTTGAACTGGCCCTGAATGGTTGAGGTGAAATTATGACCAAGTTAAAATAAGATTGCTTTCATTAAATCACGAATAATGAACTTTTTTATGCGTATTTCTTTGATACTGATAAATATTTTAAGTAAAATTAATGATAGTTCAACATTTTTGTGTGTATGCATATCATTATATATAACTGTGTATTTGTACTGTTCTTGTAAGATACCATTTATCACATTTAATTTCAACGGTAACGTCTTGTCTTTAAAGTCAAAACTTAACATATATATATTACATGACATGCAGAACATTCAGATATAGCAATTAAATTAATGACGAGTTTAAGTTGAAAAGCTTGATACTAATAACATAATTTCCCAATAAATACTCGTCTATGCAATGATTTACACAGGTAATATCTTTCAAAGTGGGCAACTATGCTATAATAAAGAAAGGTGAAGCTTATTAATTGTATAGTTTTGGAATGAAATCAATAAGTAAGTAATTATATCCAAATTAAAATATTTATTAAAATACATTTAACATGAGCCAAGATAAATTCACATTAGCTATCATTTATTAATATATATTTTAAGTTGCATGTCATACTTTAAAATAAATTAGCATAACGAAGTGCTATTTAATTTATAAATTATGTAAAAAATTGTAAAATTAATTTACTCTTTAAAAGTCTTTAATTTAATAGTTAGAATAATAAATTTTATCTTGAAAAGATTAGATCTATCATTCAATTTTACTATTTTGTACGAATAGACTATTCGTACACGTTTTATGAATATGTTTTTTGCAGTTATTTTTAAAAAATAACAACAAAAGAATAGTTTTTCCCTTACTTTCCCATTAAACGCTGACTTGTTTCACATCATCTAGTTTTTCGCATTTTCCAACCCCACCATTTTCATAGTCTCTATTTTCCTTTGCAATTTCCAGACTTGTTCCATGTTTCGTTGTAGTCATGTTTAGGATATTATAAATAAAAATCATGATCTGACATAAAACATATAGTACCAAAAGAATTATTAAAGTTAAAAAGGAAAATCAAACCCAAAAACAATAAGTGATAAGTACGAGATAATGACTTCACTTTCAATTAAGATTGCTCGAGAGTTTATAACTAAAATAAGTCTAACAAGTCACTAAAATGACACTGTGACTTCATATTGTTACTGTCAAGCTTCATTGTATCCACGAAGAACCTAATAAACAAAGATTCCATGAATTGGTTATTTATTGATCTTTGAAATGGAAGTCACATCTAAAGGACTAGCTACTAGCGAATGATAAGAGGCAGGGTGCCATATAGGTGAATGCATTGAAATCACAAAAAGAAGGTGAAAAAACGAATTTAGATCATCTGCAAAGGGAAAAGATGCAGCGTGAAGCACCCAGTCTTGATTGCAGAGGAGAAAGGTAAGACCCGTTTTTTAATCAAGCGTGACATCTCACTTGTCTTGCCAACTTAAATGTCCTACATTTTATACCATGCATACGTAAATACATAATAAAATAATTTTTATAAATGCAAAGGGTTTTTTAATAAAAATTCCTTTTTACCATAATTTTAAATATATATTTACAATTCTTAATTAATATTTTTCAGGTATCCGCTAACAAAGCCTGTTAACATTATTATAAAATTGACCAATGTTAGCAGTAGGTAAAGTTAAATAAAGAAATAATATATTAAAAATATTAATATATTTAATAAGTGAGAAATTTATGAAAAAAAAACAGTGTAAGATTATTGAGCATATTGAGCTGTGCCTTTTACCTACCGGTTGAGCGAGGCGCACAAGAATCGCGTTTGTGCATTGTGCTTTTGCACCCGCTTCCTACTACCGACACCCATTTAGTTTAGAGGTCATGTCTATGCGTTGCTTTTGCTCCTTCCAAATCCACACCCCCACACATTCTCCTCTACCTTTAACCCCTTCACTAATCACAACACGTTTATTATTATTTTACTTTTCAGCTTCATTTTTTTTATCATTAAAAGCGCATGAGAAATTCTATTACAGTTTTCATAATATTATATTCTTCTAATCAAATAAAAAATTACCAAGTTAATACCATATTTAATGCAAGTTTAATTTAAATAAAGTTCAACTGCATACAGCATTGCAATCATTTATATTTGTATTACATTATTACTCGCGCTTTTCAGTTTCCCCCCACAAACAGCTCAGCTTTCTATTTATAATCTGCAACGTCAACGTTTTATCTTCCACTCTGCCATTATGTTTTGCACTTTGCCAAATTTTTCTCGATCACAAATTAATCACTGTTTAAAATTTTACGAACGAGAAATCAATTATACTATATGTTATGTTTTTTTTAATTTTTACCTCAGTTAAAACCGTCTAATGTTATGTGATTCAGGGACTGTAATAAGTTCTTTTTAAAGGCTGTAGATGGTTAAATAAGTTATTTATAATTTTAAATTAGAACTACAAATTAATGCAACTCATTCATAAAGTAAAATTATATAAAAAGAAGCCATTTTAATATTATTAATCATAATTTGTGCGTGCCTCGATAGTGTATGTTAAGAAAATATAATCATCAATGGAATCGAATAATAAGGAATCTAAAGCAAAACACACTGAGGTTAAAAAAAATTATCTTTGGTCCACTAAGCAGAAAATTGAAAGAACCGTGTAAGAATGGGAGAAAAAAAAATGAAAAAAGAGAAAGCGACGCAGAATTAACGGCTCTTCAAGTCAAATACGGATCTCTTATAATGACAAGCGCAAAAACAAAATATCCTCTTAACAGTAACTAATGTTGTTTCATAAAAATAAATAAAATATAACTAATGTTGTTAACATAGTACTAATTAGCACTAACATTATACCTTTTCTCTTTCTCTGTCCTTGAGACAGAAACTGGGAAACCCCCAGCAAGGGACTAGGAACGAAGGTTGGCATTTGAGTCGAGACTTTTCAGACCCTTGAACCTCAAAACCTTGTTCATGGAAACCAACAAACAGCAGAAGAAGAAGTGGTTTATGCCACTGGTGTTTTCTCTACTATTGTCCACCTTGCTCATACTCTTTTCCATTTTCGTTTCCTCTGATTCCTCTTCTTTGCTCTACCTCTACCGTACACGTGTCAGAACCGATGAACCTCATTTCGTGGAGTCAAAGCTGAGGGTATCTTCCACTTCATCTACCAACTCTGTTCCCAGGATAGCGTACTTGATCTCGGGGTCAATGGGTGATGGAGAGAGTCTGAAGAGAACCCTGAAGGCCCTTTATCATCCAAGGAACCAATATGCTGTGCACTTGGACCTTGAGGCTTCTCAGCAGGAAAGATTGGACCTGGCAAACTTTGTGAGGAACGAGCCTCTCTTTGCTAAGATGGGTAATGTTAGGATGATTGTTAAGGCCAATTTGGTCACTTACAGAGGACCCACTATGGTCACCAATACCCTTCATGCTGCTGCCATTTTGCTCAAGGAAGGTGGCTACTGGGATTGGTTTATTAATCTCAGCGCTTCTGATTATCCCTTGGTCACCCAAGACGGTACTCTCTTCCCCCCTTCTAGTTTGTTTGTGTCTTGATGAGTAAAATGACGTAGTGGTTTTGTTGGTTTGTGTATTTTGTGGGAATTTTGTTGATTTGTTATCTTTGAAACGAGGCCGGGCAATTATTTTTTGTGTTGGCTGTTTCCTGATTTTCAATTTTGTTTTAAATGCTGTTTTGTTTTGGAATGCATTTCTGAGGCGTGGGAATTGAGAAATGGATCTGCCTGTTCTGGTTTGTTATGTTTTGCTGCTAATTTTGCTCCCAGATGAATATAAAGGGCTTTCTAAATTTTAGATTAGTCTGATCTGGTCCCAATCTGTGTTCAAATTGTTCTGTCTTGTTGGTTTGCTCATCAATGAGTTTTTGTTTTTGTCAGCTGGCAGGTTTGTTCCTCTCTCTCTCTCTCTCTTGTTGTAGCCGGGGTGATGGGGGATGAGGAATACAGGGTTTCAGATAAGAGTAAAATTGCTTATAACTTCCCTAGTTTCTGCATTGATGTTTAAATTTCAAAGAGTGGCCACTATACCACGTTAAATGTTAATTTCGTTTTTGATTTAATATGATAATTGGTTGGAACTTACAGAGAATGAGAGCTGTGAACCATGTTATCCTATTTTAGCTATCATCCACTGACTTTAATTTATTGCATCTCTTTTGCTCAACAGATCTGCTACATACACTCTCATCTATTCCTAGACAACTTAACTTCATTGAGCACACCAGTGATATTGGCTGGAAGGAGTATGCTGCTAATCCTTTCATTCCTTCTTTTAATTGCATGATTTACTTAATTTCCTTCTGAAAGTAAGATGCAATTTTGTGAAGTATCAAGTGTACCCATTCTTTACAAGTAAATCTTAACCCTTTTCATTTTTTCAATAGAGATCAGAGGGCAAAACCTGTTATAATTGATCCAGCTCTTTATAGTGTCAATAAATCTGATTTATTTTGGGTGACTGAGAAAAGAAGTGTTCCTACAGCATATAAGCTGTTTACAGGTGAGAAGCTTGGTATCCAATGCCTCTCATTTAATTCAATCTCTATGTTGTTATTTTTCTTATGCCACCGTTGTTAATTTATCTCTTTCAAATATGTAGAATGTTTTAGTAGTATGAAACATGTAACTTCTGAGTAAATTGAAGACATTACAAAAACCAAAAAGAGATGTGGAAAAATAAATCTGAATTGAAGTCAAACAGTCATGATGGAGAGAGATGGTGGTGGTGGGTGTGGTGGGGGGGGGGGGGGGAACAATTATAATGTTGTTTTGTAAACGCAATTTATAAAATGAATTCAGAAGCCAGTGGCTTTGAGTATGATTACTCAGGATTACAGCACCTTTTAACTTTTCTCCATTCGATTCTTTCTTTTTCTTTGTTATATTGGCTACAGTTTTCCACATCTGTTTTGAACTCAATGTCCCATGTCTCTCAGGTACTCATTGGTAATCCTAATGCAGCCTTTGGCAAACATTTTATCATGAGCTATGTATCCCTTATGCCTAAATTCATTTCATTCATATGATAGGTTTAGTTGCATGTGCTTATTCTGGTGTCCTTTTTCTTTATTTTAAGTTGGCAAATGAGAAAAAATTCCCTAAAGAGATTGGTGGAACAAAAAGAAAGTATTTATTGAATACTGATTTTTTTAAATAATTAAAAGATTTTATTAATAATGTGGTAATAAATGCACCTTAATCAGTATCATTACGGCACCTGTCAACATGATTCTTCTATTAGATCACCTATTTTACTTGAAATCTCTGAGAAACAGAGCCTTATTTTCAATAGCTGTCCATAACTGAAGACTTAGGATTCAGAAAAACTTAATTTGAATCCAGCTTTATGCTATCAGAGTTTTATTTTGCATCTTGATTTTGCTCAGGTTCGGCCTGGATGATGCTCTCACGCCAATTTGTTGAATATTGTTTATGGGGATGGGATAACCTGCCTAGAATAGTCTTGATGTATTATGCCAACTTTCTATCCTCCCCTGAAGGGTATTTTCACACAGTCATCTGCAATGCTGAGGAGTTCCGTAACACTACTGTGAATCATGACCTCCACTTCATATCCTGGGACAACCCTCCAAAACAGCATCCACACTTCCTTACAATCAATAACTACCAGAGAATGGTGGACAGCAACGCCCCTTTTGCTCGAAAATTTGGCAGGAACGAACCACTCTTGGATAAGATTGATACTGAACTCTTGGGGCGAAATGCCCACGGTTATGTTCCCGGCAAGTGGTTCGTTCACGCTAATCCAAACATCACCAAACAATATTCTGCTATAAGAAATATCACTGAGCTCAAGCCTGGCCTTGGGGCGGAAAGGCTTAAACGCCTTATCAATGGTTTATTATCATCAGAAGAATTTAAGACAAAGCAGTGTTCTTGACATGCAGGTTTAAACACCTGCTATGATCATTGCTGTTTTACCATCACCAAACAGATACAAGCAAACAATTGTGATGTCCAGTTGACACACCAGGTTGCTTTGAGACCAAACAGGAAAAATGAGAGGACATAACAGTATACACAAGGAACCGTTTCTTCAAATACACTTCACCTTCTAGTTCTATTTTACACAAATTTTAACGTGACCACACTTTTGTAGTCATATTGTATCCATTTGTTCACTTGATTTATTGAATTTTATTGGATGACAATGACAAGTCATCAATGCTTTTGTACTCTCTAGAATGTCTTTATAGCCAATAAGAGATTCAATTATATAATACGTGACACGGGCTTCATGCCTATAAGGCTAGAAGTTCGAGAAGCCCGTGAAAAAAAGTACTCACTCTTGTAGTCTTTATACTAGGACTTGCTCAAGTAGCTGCTACTTATTGTTTCTATTATTCTCTCTCCTTTTTTTTAATTGATTTATATATTTGATTTTTATTTTCATGGACGTAGGCTCTTGCAAATAAGTGAGACAACAAAATCGTGCTCGAGCATGCAAAATAATTTACTATTGGGTCCATTTTATGTCCTCAAAATTCACCATCTTGATTAAAGAATATAGTTAACTTGTACATTTTTCTGTGACTCATCTACATTATCCGTCATTTATGCTGCGACTAATTTCTTTACCTTTACTGCCTGTAAAATCCTTGTTTTATGTCTTTTTATACATGTGTGCATGTATTTTATCATGTTTTCAATCAATTCTCATAATAGCACACTTTAGTCTTTAAAATGGTCTCTTTACTTTAGAAAAGTTAATTTTTATTTTATTGATATTTTACAATTCAAACAGTTAATAGCCAATTACCAAAAACAAGTTGCATACATAAAAAGAAATACGTTCACCCCCATTTTGGACAGCCACAAGGCCCACAATGTGTAGTCTCAAAGGGCTTAGTCCCTTAAGACAACCATTCAACGCATCAGCATTTTGTACCTGTGTCTACAAATACTAACAAAAGTAAAAAGGAACATGCTTGTTTGTTTTAGCGTTAAAAAAATAAATAAATTTTACATTTTTTTAATAGAAATATGTAGTTCAAATTAGTTTATACTGTATCTTAATTATATTTAACAACTCGAAATAAACTTTGTCAAAATAAGTTTTATTCAACTTTAAATGAAACAAACACATGCATATCTACAAACGTGCAAGGTTTAATTCAACTTTTAAAAATAATTTATTATTGTTGTTACAAAATTTAACAAAAAATGTTATTTCTTTAAATTCAAGTGTTTTCAAATGTGCATTAAATTTGAATAATGATTTATGATCGAATTCCCTGGCAAAGTAATGGAACCACAATGCTTGCATTAGCACTGGAATTTTCTTAATATCAGTTAACTGTACAAAAAAGTCTTTATTCTTTATTAAATAAAACTTATATCAGTTCATCAATTTTTTTATAAAATTTTTAGTGTGTATGATTTTGTTTTATTTTTATTTTTAAACTTTAATTGCTAAATTTCTTTTAAATATTGTACACCATTATTATTTAAAAAAATTTCTATGCAAGATCTTGTAAAATGTTAATTTATGCGTGCTTTCATTTATACAATGTAGACTTTGCAAGAAAGAAATAAAACCATATTGTCAAAATTCAAAACAATACAGAAAATGTCCATTATATGATTACTTATAATACTTTGGGTCCAAAATGAATTATTTGATTATATATGTGAAGGCATTATTATGAATATGAAAAAAAATTAAAATCCAACTCTATAGATTGAGATAGTAGTGAGAGACTTTAGTGGTTTTTATGAAGGCATTATTCATTATTGTGTTCACATTTCATTAAAGCTGCTTTGATGTGTGTGTGTATATATATTTTAAGTGTAATGTTTTTTTTTAATAATTTTGAGATAATATTTATTATTTTTATTAAGTAATCTTGAGATATATTTATATATAAAAATATTGTTAATTTTAATGTTAATGATCATAATTCTTTTAAAACTTAAATCTTATGTAAATGATTTTTAAGTCCAGAGACTTTTCTTATCTTAAACTTAAAGATCATACTCATGTTAAAAAATAATAATATTAAAAAAAATATTAACATCAAATTTTAAAATTAATTTTAAATAAAAACAAATAATAAGTTCTTAAAAAATTATTATACATGAAATATATATATATATATTGAAAATATATTGTTTTAAATATTTAAAATTAACTTTAATAAAATCATTAAAAAAATAACAGAGCTCTTTTAAATTTTTTCAAAAGAAACCCACTTCACCTCTCATCTCGCAATTTTTCCCCGAGTAACACTCCTCCGTCCTCACTCTAACAACGGTGTTACCGTTCCCCGAAGCTTTCACAGATCCAAATCTGAATTCTCCCTCACTTTCTCGAGAAAATTTCCCCTTTCGTTAGAGAAGCTGAAGCTTTGATTGCCTACCCTGGCCTTTTCCATGGCAAATGCCTGGAAAAGAGATAAACCCACGAGACTACTCTCCCCAAAGTTTCTCTTTTTACTCTTCTCTTCCACTCTCATTCTCTTGTTCTTCTTCTTATTCCTCACCTCTCGCCCCTCAAACCCTAACCCTAGCTTCATCGCTCTCAACGCCCACCTCTCCTTCAATGCAATTTCCCCTTTCGATTGCATGAAATCCCCACAGGCCCACCCTGTGATTGCAAGCACCGTCGAAGGCGTTCGGTACCCCTTTCTCTTTTCGCTTTCGGATTTCGGAACCTTACCCGACAAGCCACACAAGAACATCGTTAGAATCCTCAAAGGGAAACCTTTTCGCAAACCCGACATCTCCGTCACCGTTCAGGAGGTTCTGGAGAAGGCCAAAAGCGAGGGAAGAGATGGATTTGTTGTGGATGTTGGTGCCAATGTGGGTATGGCTACCTTCGCTGCCTCCGCTATGGGGTTTCGGGTTTTGGCTTTCGAACCCGTTTTTGAGAATTTGCAGAAAATTTGTGAAGGGATTTACTTCAATCGAGTTGCGGATTTGGTTACTCTCTTTGAGGCTGCAGCATCAGATCGCCTCGGTAACATTACCTTCCACAAGGTCATTTTTTTCGTTCTTATAATTTACTTTTTTTAATTTAGTTTTGATCTGTGGTCTAGCTATGCTTGGATTGAAATTTGGTTTCCTACAGTTTATGGCAAGTTTGAAAACTGAACTATTGTAAGGAATTGTGGAAGAGGGCTTGGGCTAGTTGGATACTTAATCTAATTCTCTCAGAAGAATAAAGTTCTGAGAGAGAAAAGTGGAGGAGATTGTAGTTGATGGAAGAAAAATTCTGTTTTGATTTTTATCAAGTACAAGTCTGGATTGTGATAAATGGATTTGTGAAAAGGAGAAGTAGAGAGCCCACTTCGTTGAATTTCTTTCTAGTGTGATTTTCCATATAGACTTAGTTCTTCGAAGGGTGAAAAATGAATCAGCTGAAAATTCTGGTCGGACATTTCAAATTTATCGGATAATTTAATGAAAATCTTGCATTTTAATCCTATTTTGGAAGATTGACCTGAAATGCCGCTTTGGTTGGATAGGCTTGGGTGAATTTCTTAAGGCTAAATTCTCCTTGAGGGTGCAGCTAGAAATGCGGTTACCAAAAGTTCAATAGGAGCAATTTACGCTGTGGTATCTTAAAATTAATGCACAAGATGGATTTATTTGTTTGAAAAAGATGCAACAAGTTTCTGTTATTTTTAGTTTTGATTATAGCTATGGAGTCTGACTCTACGGTTCCACATGCAAGTTTCTGTTTTGTTTTTAAAAAATGAAGATTTGGGTTGGGAATTTAGAACACGAAGCCTTCAACTTACTGGTGAGAGTTAGTAGCATTGAGCTGATGGCTCATTTTTCAGGCCATGAAATAAAAGGGCAAGAAAATGAAATCATTTATACTACAATGCAACTTCTGCTTGTCTTTCATGCGCTGATCCATTCATTTTTAAAAATTTTTAATTTACCAGTTGGTCGGCCGGCTGGACAACAGTGCTGTTTCAGCCACAGGTGCAAAGATGGCATTCAAGTCCAATGAAGAGATAGCTTTTCAAGTAAGAACTGTTCCTCTTGATGAAGTGATTCCAAAATCAGAGCAAGTGCTTCTGCTTAAGATAGATGTTCAGGGCTGGGAATATCATGTTCTTAAAGGAGCATCAAAGTTACTATCAAGGAAAGGAAGCCAAGCCCCATATCTCATATATGAAGAAGACGATCGTTTGTTACAGGCCAGTAATACCACTGCAAAAGAGATTCGAGACTTCCTCCGAAGTGTGGGGTATAATGATTGCACCCAACATGGTACAGATGCACACTGCACCAAGAAGGATCGATCGTAATTTTGGTTTTCAGTTTTGCAGCCCCTTCATGGAAACCAAGCATTGCTAGTTTCTGTGTACACTTTTTTCCATTTGATTATCAACTAATTCTTGAATGGTGAACAACCTAATGAATTGATGGTCGATGCTGATGGAAACGAAGGTGGCAACTGCACGGCCAACACAAGCTGCTTTATTAACTTCGTGATCACGTGAAAGTATCCATCAAAGTTGGAAATGCATATCTTCCTTGACTCACATTACGTTCGATATGATCCTTGGGTAGAATTGTTTGGGTTTAGGTTTTGTATACGAGCCTTTAATTGTAAGGATTCGTTATATGTACTCAAATTTCCAATTATTTTGAGACCTATTCATAAAATATTTGTGTATCAGACAAACATAAAGCTTCTCATATTTGATGTCACAATCAAATGAAGATCACGGGTAACTTAAAATTTTACATCTTCCAAAATGAAGTTCAAATCACTGATTAATCTCAAAAGAAATTGGAAGCACTATACTTGTGTTATATGCTAATTGCTAACAATACTTCAAAATAATAGATTTGTTTGTTTAGCTTCAACTTGCTGGCTACTGGAGGAAAAACATAAGTCGTCTTCGTACTCTCACAAAGATATACAAATATCAATCCCAACTTCAAAAGCCTCTTTGCGGGGGATCCAGATTCTAAAATCAGGTGCATTTATACACATCATATCTGTTAAAAACAACGAATTCTGTAGCCACTGATGCTACAAATACAAAATATCTGTTACATAAATAACACATCATACATGCAAGGGATATATAACAGTACGGTTGGGGCATATCACCATTGAACTTCAGCTTTTCTACCAAATTTCGCATAGATCTACTTATGCTACAAGGCAAGCATGAAGATTAAGGGCAGTAGCAACAAGTCACGTAAGTTCTGACCTACGCAAGGACCTCAGAAGACAACAGAAATTTACCATCTAAAGAGATTGTGCTCCTCAACATCAAAATAAGTTATAGCAGGATGCCCAAATCGGAGACGTGCCAACTGCTAAACAATGCTACCTAGAAAGATTGATATGTCAAAACATCAACCTATATCCCGTTACTGATTTAGTTATTTCTTGAAACAATAAAAAGCTGAGGGGTTGATACCTGAGGATCTAACCGCACAGCTCAGTCCTTAGGATTATCTTGGCCCACTAGTTTTTGAAGGGCCAGCCCTTTCCACCATAGCATCATAAAGTTGTTTCCCATTCTGTTTGTCAACATGAATCAGCAAGAAACAACAAAGAAAAATGTTGTAAGATTAAATCCAGCAACTCAAGTAAGAATAAAATTTAATTTCTAAACTATTTCCTATATGAATATTGGCCACGCTTCCAAACTGCTTACAAAGATTATTGGGAAGAAATGAATTTGTCCCTCAGGTTTTGTTTGCGTTTCCTTGAAGTAAACCAAAATAGGGAAGTTTGGCCACCAGAATTCCCAATTGACAAATGTTGAGTACCTGCAGCATATCAGAGAGATTTTTGACCTATTGTTGTCAATTTCTAGTGAGAGTAGACATGAAATCGGGTACTTACTTCCAGCGGTTTTTTCCTCCCACGAAAACATTCTCACCTGATTCCTGGAGCTGGTCACCTATCCTTACCTCCTAAACCACAAATTTTGTATATAACTCCAATGTGAATAACTAAAAGATAGCAGAATAATAACATCCTGGAATGACGAATATAAGTCGCAGGAAATCATGCAAACATAAATACTATGCTGATGAAGGTATAGCTAGGATGTAACTGAAACTGGATGATGGTTTGACATCAATACACGCCAAATATAAAATAGCAATCACTGGCTGAGAACTCTAGAGATGTGTGCTTAGTCAAGTAGTTAAGTCTTTTTGCATCAAATTGGTGCTATTTAATTATAAACTCATGCAATGCTTGATGGAAAAAGAGAAAGAGAAATTGATACTAGCAGGGCTACTAGCTTTTTGAGGGAATAAGAAAAAAACCTGATGGATTCACTTATATAACGACATGAGATTTTTTTGCTATCTAAATTTCAAAATTGAATAAAAAAAAACACTTGAAAATGCAATATGAATTGAATTTTGTTAGATTTTATGGCACAAAAGTAAAAAATAAAGAAAGAAAAATGTGTAGGATTATGATGAGAATGAATAAGAAATGAACTCAACTTTATTCAATAGTAACGGTACATTTATAGTAATTCATATAAAACATAACTAGCTACTTAACAAAGGATTTTTAATAAACTAAATTATTCTGAAAAATGTAGAAACTACTAATTGATTAGGACACTGATATAACGAACTGAAGTAATTAAAATAACTAAAAGCAATTACAAAAGCATATTGTTAACAAATTTCTAAAAACTTTAAAGTAAGAATGTGTGTAAATTAAGGGCTTTTGCAGTTAATTTGAATAAACAGTTTTCAACTCACTTCCCAGCTACAATAAATAAAAATATTAAGGCTTTTAGGAAAGTTAATAATGGAGACCACGTGCGGGAAAAGTAAATAATAGTACATAAACAGCAAAGTTCTTTGAGAAGTAAGAAAGGAACATACCAGAGCTTCATCATCAAAGACAAATCTCACTCTAGTGGTCTGAGGAAATAAGAGACGAGAAAAAAATCAGCTTCTGAAAAATTGAATCGAGAATATAATACAGTTTGTAGCAAACAGATTGAAAAGTCATCAGATAAAATAATGTCATATCCTCTTCGGAAAAAATTACTTGAATCATTATGCTAGTTTGCACCTTTATTAATTACACTTTTACTAATAATCACCTGGAACAACAGAAGCAATCCAAGGAGACCAGCAGGTACTGCAGGTATCAGATTATCTGTGTAAACCAACCCACCAGCTATACCTGATAGTACAATTTTAAGCCATACAATAATTTAGGACGTGTGTGAATCTGCTCATGTAAGGTAAGGTAAAAAAGACTCGACTTAACACGCGCAGGTTTTCAAAAGTGTTAGCTAATTTCATTCCCCATGATTTTGGTTCCCTTAGTTTCAAAGAATTCAAAACTAAGGCAACACAGCCGTTCGTAAGCTTGTAATGAAAAGGGCTACCAATTTATGTAGTTTTAGATATATTATTCAGGACAATCCTCGTCCACATATTGTACCCGTGGTAAGTGTTGTCACTTATTTGAAAGCCTAAAACAATTTGGTAAGACACAGACTAATAAAAAGAAAATCAGTAACTACCGAGTAGCACAATTGGAATCCTGTAATCTGGCTCAGGAATCACCGTCTCTCTGCTCTTCACCTTCCTCCCAACCTGTCAACACAGAAATTCCATTGCACAATTAGAATTCATATTAACCACACAAAGAAGACTTCAAATATATGCCAACCACAATTTTAAGCAATGATAAATGAAATGACACAAAGCCACAGAAAGGTGAAGTAGCAACCACTGAGCGAACAACAAGACGGTTTCCATGGCTTCTAGCTATTTGTCTCAAAGAGAAACTTGGAGCAAACGCAACTTGTCCACAAAATGAATTCAAAGCACTCAAGTATCCAATCTTTTCCCTCCCTGAAACGAACATATATCAGTAAAAAGTAAAATCAAACTTTCCCATATTTATTTATGCGAAAATATCCGTACTTTATTGAAAAGGGGAATGAAAATTTGACTAAAACTGACACATAACACCCATGAATCAAAGAAACCAGATGAAATTACTTGCAATTAAGCTTACTTTGGGAGGGAAGAAAATGGTGTACGGACAACAAAGTGGTCGCCATTTGTTTGTGCACCGGAAAATTGAAATCCCTTTATTTTATGTGGGTGGAGCAAATAGAAGGATTTTACAGTAATGCCCACCATTTTGTGATGTCAAAGTTGTCGTATTCCGAGGTCATTGGAACATGTCTAAGGGTATTAATGTAACAAGGCGCGAACTTTACACACAAAATTCAAGGGCCTTATCTGTTCCAACTCGTATTCGTTGAGAACTGAGAACAGCTCACTCTTTCGGATTTGGTATTTCGGAGTCACTGTGATTGTGAATGGCGCACTCTGTGTGTTTTGCTCCAATTTGTTCGTTGATATCCTCAAAAAGACCTGGTATTCATAACTTTATGTTCTCTGTGTGTGTGTGTTTGTGCTTTCTTGTCTTTGTTGAATTTTGCATTACTTTTGTAATTGAATGAGAAATTGTGTCAATTTAAATAGGGTCTGTTACCGGTAATTCAGTTACCCAAAAGGCTTTTGGGATGAAAGAAGCATGCCATAACTCTAAAGTTCGAAAATTTCTGTCTTTGGAGGTGAAGGTGAGATTGGTTTTAGTTTCCCATTATTAAGGTGCTTTTGAGTTCAATTTTTTTAATGTAACAAATGCTGGCACGAGGACATCAATTTGGTGTATTGTCCGTCAAATGGTTTATGTATGGTATGTGATATGTGTGCTTTACAAGCTGAAAAGTTTTGTATAGCAACATTTGGAAGGAGATATTGAATCGCTCTCTGATTTTGATTTAATACAGGCTACAGAAGACAAAAATCCTCGTAGTCCAAGCACAAAATCTAAGAGCATTGTTTGTTCTGATTGTGACGGAAATGGTAAGTGAAAGTGTAGATTTTAATTTCTTTTTTATTATTATCTTCTTTAGTTTTCTTATTCTTTATTCAAAGTCGGTTTAAATTAATATGTGCCTTCATGTGATATCATACAACAATTGCCAAGTTTGTACAAAAATTAGAACAAAAATGTCATACACTTCATTAAAATTTAGATAATTTAGCGCTTTCTTGTCTTATTGAGAAAATTTATGCCTTTCCCTAACAACAAACTGTTATGCCAATAGTGAAGGGAATCTCTTTAGAGTCTATTAACCTTTAAATCTTATTAACTCGATTGCTTCCTATTTGAGTTAAAGATATTTCACCTAATACTGATATCACCTTAGAAAAGTAGTCACAAAATCAATCTGGTTCCAGTGGGAATATAGCCTTTCTTGTAGTTGTCATTCTTCATGAGATAAGCAAATGTTAGTCGGGAGACCTGTCCACACTTATATTTATCAATTATCTATTTCTGATGATGGTTCTCTACTGCGCAATTACATTCAGAATATCAATAATTCCTGATGATGGATAAGCCAGGATGTTTTCAATGCATATCTGAGGCTTACATTTTGCTTTATGAATACAACAGACACTGCCAATTTCTTGAAGAGCTAGTTGAAATTTTTAAGTTTTCCCTCCCCTTCCCTAATCACTGGGTTATTATCTTTTTTCTCAACTGCTAGGTGCAATATTATGTACTCAATGCAAAGGTACTGGAGTTAATTCTGTAGATCACTTCAATGGACAGTTTAAAGCTGGTGGATTATGTTGGCTATGCAGGTAACTGCATCATACCACGCTCCTGCCTCTCCCCCTGCTCTTTATTCTATCCTGTGACTGAGCATGCGTGACTGTGCTTTGTTATGTATTATGTGGTTTAAAGTATGCACTTATATGCATCAATTTCTGCCTTCTCCCCTAAAAGAAAAACAAAAAAACACTATGCATCAATTTGATTGCACTCAACAAATGAGACTCATGTTCTAGCAAAATGCTTAGAATAGGACTAAATGATTATCCAGTGAATTTGTTTAACTCTCATTTCCACCATTGCGATTCTTGTCTGAGTGGAATATGTAATTTCTTTTTCCTTGAAGCTAATTGACTGGCTGTTTAGAATAATAGCAATGCCAGGGAAACTATGGGGTCTTGGCTGCATTTCGATCTGGGAGTAGGATGAAAGAGTTAATATTCTTTTGTTCCTTCTGGGTTTATAATTTTTACATCTCGCACTTACGGCAATACTGTTATTTGCATGAAATGGTATAGTTTTTTTCTATAGAAGTTGGTGATGAGTATCTAGGGTCATTCTATGCTTAATATGTACTCAATTCTTCTTCTGTAATTGTTGGAATGCATTGTCTTGTGTGACTTAATATTTTGTTGCATTCCTTGAGTATAAAAAGTTAGGTGCTAAAAACTCATAATATGTAGTTCAAGTGTCAGTATATGAAAAGATAAACCCATCAGAGCTGACTCATTTGTATACTAACCATCACAGATCGCCTTCTGATTATAAGTGCTTATCTTCTATCTTATCCTATCCAACATGTATGTCCTTGCAGGGGTAAAAAGGATATTCTGTGTGGAACTTGTAATGGAGCTGGCTTTCTTGGTGGATTCATGAACTCATTTGATGATTAGAAGATAGGCTAGATCGAAGCCAAAGATTCCTCTTAGCTAAACAAAGAAAAGGAAGTAGGAATCTGCTTATTCCTTTGTTGGTCTTTTTTGTCTTGTGATTCTATAATGAATATTGCAGTTGCTGTATCAAGATTTTGTCTTAATGCATTTGTATTCCGTGGTTGAGTATAGACCCACCAGATAGCGTTTAGTTGGATTAAGAAATGATAGAAGTTCATTTAAAATAATCAGGGAAACGAAAATAATAGCAGCATAAGCAAATGAGCAAATCAAATAAAGCAAAAATGGAGGAGCTAAACCGTTTTTCTTTTTCAATAATGCCTATTTTGAGCATTAAGCTAATATCTATTGCTGATTTGTTCATGTGGATATTATTTGATTCTAAAGTTCTCTTAACGGGGCAATGTATTTATTGGTTGAATGATTGGCATATGAAAATTTCATGCGAAGTATTATAGGAAATAAATAAATAACACCTACGCGAACAGCATGGTTCGCATGAAGGAAAAAGCACCCATAAGAGCATATACACGATCAAGATGGAAGTTTTTAGACCAAATATTTTAAGGGATAGTTTTTTTTTTTTGTTACAAAATTAAGGGGTCATCACTAAGTACATTAGCATCCTTTATGTATGATTTTTTTTCTGTCATCTTTATGTTTGACTCTTGCACGAGACTCTATTGTTAATTATATTTACCTATATATATTCCCGAAACCTGAGAAATTATAATGGTGATTGTTCGTGTAAGAAGCAACAAAAGCATAATTAAAAAGTTAGCGTAATTATGCCAGAAAAAACAATGCTCACAATTACATATTTTCTGATATTATATCCAAATATAAAATCCATTATAACTTTATCCGATTCTTCAATCATTTTATACAAAAAATAAATGTTTTAATAAAATTTTCATAAAATATCGTGTGCATTACAAAGATAACACATTAATTAGCATCTGTTTTAAAGTTTATAAAATCATTTTTAACATAAGAAACCAGAAATATTAATTGAAATTATATTTTTATAGCTTGTGAAAATTTTTTCCCTACAAGACTAAAACAACCTTATTGTAAAGCGTCTCGTCAAACCCACAAAGGTGCCACTTCTTTAGTAATAGATAGTTAATATTAGTATCAAACAACATCGAAGTCGCTTTGGCCGAGTGGTTAAGGCGTGTGCCTGCTAAGTACATGGGATTTCCCCGCGAGAGTTCGAATTTCTCAGGCGACGACGAGTCAGTTTTCCTTTTCTCTGTTATAGACAAATTTATTTGTTTTTATTTTTTCATACTAATGGTACAACAAGTAGTATTTAAGTTAAGTATGTCATTTACGGCTCTATTACATGCTTCAATTAAATTTTGAACACACTTTTCTAATTTCTCCATCAATACCAGTTTTCACCTCTATACTACTCAACTTAATCATGGCCTTTGGAAATTCAAAATCAAACCTTAATCCCAACAACCCTTTAACATTCCCAGCATAATTTTGCAGCACATTTTGTGTAACAGAATCTTCCCACAACCTCTGATCTGACTCCAGAACTCCATTACCATCTCGTACATTCTTGAAGAAACTAACATCAAATTTGGCTGGACTATCTTTGTCCAAAGCCACCCTTCTCAAGCCATCTCCACCTTTTGGACAAAGTGCTTGAAGTTGAGCTAAGAATGCTACATTTATAGTGGGATCAGCATTGCCAGAGGTGGTAAAATTGTATAGACGATAACTGAAGAACCTGCAATCTGTTTGGCCTATAGTATGTGCACCTGAAGATAGACAAATGAGACATACATACATATATAAATTATTGTGTTCCATATATTAGTAGCATAAACATGAGTCACACATTTATTCAAAATATTGTGAAAGAAAACATACCAACTAATGTCACAAGGTCATGATCATCTAGACCTTTGGCAACAAATTTTTGTCTTTGGACTGAAATTGGGTCGAGCGGAGAAGGCAAGTTTGTTGAGGCTTGAGATGATAAAGAAACCCTCCCATCTCTTCTTCCTGTGGGTACTGGCCAACTTGGGCCATCACTCTACCATTTTCACAAGTGTTAGTTTTATATATTCCTTCAAAAAGGTTATGCATTATAACGTGTTTAAAAAAAGTTTATAAAATTTATTTTAATACCAAATCAACAGCATCACGAGCTGCTAATGCTAAGATGTCAGCACATGAGACAACTCCAGGACATATGGTCTCTATCTTTGATTTTGCATCATCAATCACCTCAAAACCTCTTAGACCGAGGTTTGGCAATGCACTCTTCTCTGCAGAAGAATCTGCAATCAAAATTGAAGCATCGCAACCCTGTGGGACATTTTGTCTAATGAGTTATTAATTTGTGTGTCAAAATAAAATTTTAAGAAAAAAAAGCAAGATTTGATCACTATCAAGTGATATGAAATAATGATTGTTAATTAAAAAATTAGGGAACAAATGTTAACAATTCATTGTTTATATATGTGTGTGTATGTGTATGCATGTTATTTTATCACAACCTTAATTATTGACACTCCCTTTTTTTTTATCAATTCTCACTATAGAAGAGTAAAGATCATACACTTACGGCTTTATGTGAATGAAGGATTTGAGGTTGAGGTAGCTTACCTGAACAAAGCAATCATGGAAATGAAGCCTGAGAAGGCCAGGAGCAATGGTTGGATCCTTGTTGAAGTAGGATACAACAGTGGACCGTACAATGGCCTCAGCATTTGGACAAGAAGTAGAATAAAACCCAGTTTTTAATTGGGCCTGTATTGACGAAGTCATCACCAAAATCATTATGGAGCCCAATATGGCATACATTTTGTACCAATGGTGGAAACAAAAACTAGTATCTGCCAACTTCAAACTTGGTATTCGATGCTTCTCTCTCTCCCTTGCTAGCAGCATTTATACCACTGAATGTCACTTATATAATTGAGCTTTTCTTAATTATTTTTTTACTTTAATAAGGTTTTGGCCTATTTGTCATTGACATTTTGATAAAGAGAAGATATTAAAAGATGGTTCCCCATTTTTGTTTTCTTAAGTTCATACTATATACAGAACCGAAGGAGGATTTCACATAATGGAGAGGTCTTTCCATCACTCTTCTTATCTTTGATGCCTCTACTTTATTCCTCAACGCGTTTCTGCTTTTTCTGTCTCTTTTTTTTTGCTCTGTAATGCTCATCTTTTTGCTTTAGTAGTTTACTTGTAAGTTTCTTGTTCACATTAGCTTTGGTTCATGAATTTTGATGAAATATATTCGGGGTTACTTTAGTGCAATCATTGTTGATAGAGTACCAAATTAAAGTTGATTAGCAAGCACTACTCGGAAATAAAAAAAGGTTGAATAACAAGCGGGTCGTGACTACTACCTAAGTAAAATATTTGAGCAGTAATTCACGAAACAAAGGTATACTTGGTAATAGCTTAGCTAGAACATTGAAACATTGTTGGAAATTTTTATTTCAAGGACGTTTTTATGATCTAAGTTCTCACCTGTCTTAAATTTGTCACATTATCAGGTCTTGCTAGAGAAAAAGGGAACATATTTTGAATATAATTAGCAGATTTATTTTTGTAACTTATAGCAATGGATTATTGTTACAGAATTTTTGTTTTTCTGTAACATTATAGTCCTTGGAGAAGTTCTTATCCAATGCTGCAAAGAGAACAATAAAATATATGACCTTCATCTGAAAACAAATTAAGCCAATATTCGTATAACTATTATAAACTTTTATATAACACTTTGGTAGTATTATTGTATGACTGTTTTCTCTATTTTTGTGCGTCTAGTATGGACCTCTGGATGCAACTTGAGTCCTCAAAATAGGAAGAACAATGGTTAAAAAAATAAGTAAACTTTCTTGAATCTAGGATGGCAGGTTAATCCTAACATAATGTTTTTAGAGTGTGTTGGGGGAAATAATAAAAAAAAATAAGAAATAATGTTTTACCAAAGTTATTTTATAATAACTCGTATAAAACATAAAAGGACAAAATTACGCCATTACTTTTTTTATTAGTTTTTAAAAAATGCATATTAAAGATTAATTATGACTTGTTTTGTCCTTTTTTTTTCTTTTATATGATTTATTGTAAAAATATCATCATTCAAAATTAAGAAACATAAGAGACTCACATAAATAACAACATTGAAAATAAAAATTCACCAGAGATGATTAATGAAGATTGAATAAAATGGAGTGATAAGAATATGCACATTATCTGTTCCTACAAAACAAAAATAATTATTCTATTATTACTAAAAAAAATTAGAACAAATTGATATTATTCTTTCTTTTTCGAGGCAATCAAAGGAGAGAATTCATAGTATACTTTTTTTCTGGTAGAATAAAATTATAGTTGTGTAAATATTATTAAATTAAAAATAAATTGATTTTAAATTTTTTATTAATTAGTGAGTTTTTCATGCATACAAATATCATTAAATTAAAATAATTTTTTGAACAAAAATTAAATCTATATACATAATTATTTTTAAATTTTATTAAATTTTATAAATTTAAAAAAATATTATTAATAAATTTTTTATATTTAATTAAATTTAAAAGATAGAAAATTTTAATTAAAAATAAATTATGAAAAAAATCATTTTGTAATTAAATTAAAAAATAAATAATCACATGACATAATAAGAAAGTTAATAATTCCTAAAATTACTATTATTTAAGATAACTGCTAGAAACATTTTTGTTTAAAAATGGAGATTCACATTAAATGTATAGAGGTATACTTGGTCCTTTTTAAAGTTAATAATTTATTGATTAGTTCCTAAATTGATATTATTAATGACGTAACACTAATATCCATTGATAATAAATTTTAGAATGAATTGATGATTTGTTGTATTTAAACTTTTATTTTGTTAGTTTATAGTATAGGAATTAATTTTAATGAGTGATTAAAAAATAACTTGTCCAATAAACAAAATTAATTATAAGTATTGCACAAAATTACCTCCGCACGTAACATAAAGTAACCAAATTTTCATTCTCTAATTGCTAGTGGAGCTGAGAAAATGAAAATTGGCAAGTATAACTGATAAAATAATAATATTAAAGTTTGATAATTGATTTTTCTAAACGAAATATAAATGCAAATTAAACAACAATTGGTCCACACGCATGCCGCCATGACTGGGCAAAAATTCTGAAAGTATGATTAGGCAAAATTTTCTTGGTAATTGGTACAAAGAAAGACAAAGGTCTACCTCACGAGGCACAGAGCAGTAAATTTGGGCCCATTTAACGTAAGACACGTTATCACTTCATTCAATCATGTTGTTAGCGAGACTTAACATACTTGACCCCCGAAATATACGAAAATAGAGGAACAAGATAGTGACACAGTCTGGGTGCTTCATGTCCTACATGCAACTAAAATCTCTAGCTGCACCATTAAAATTTGGTAATAGGGTGTTTCGATCATTCGTGTCAACAAAAACAGATCATAAGCTACTAATTTGAAAACGGATTCATTTCATTTATAGCCATGTAAATCACCCAGGAATCCGTCCACAGTTATCAATTTTCTAGATCAGTTTTCTTACTTGTTTGCTGGTTTCCATTTGCAATGTGGTCGTGTTATGGACTCATTCTACAATATATGAATTGGTCTGTACAATAATTATGAAGTTGGACTATATGGTCTGTGCATGGCAACGTGGGTGCGAAAATAAATTTTTGTTAACTTAAACTTGAATGGAGTCTGACCAATTCAACAAAAAATTTTCTAGAAATGATGATAGACTTACCTGATTCAATCAATTTATAGTGGTGGTTTATGTTAGACACCTGTACATGCATGTAAATAAATATCTTGCCAAACATTTGCAATTCTGAATAGTTGTTTTGTGATTATGCTAAAAAAGTATATATTAAATCCATATATCAATGACTCTGAAGTATTGGTCTCGCTACCCCAACATAGTGGTTTGTGTGATAAATGATAATCATGAAAACAAGCTATAGAAAACCAAATTCTTATTTAATGAAAAGTAAAATTAAAAACGACATTATTTTGTTTCCCTTTTTGTTTCACAGAACACACCAATGATTTTGCTAATCGTTCTCTTATTTTATCGCTGCATATTTGTCATTGATTCATATTTCATGCAAATTAATCGATCAAAACATTAGAGAAAGCTATCTGCCGTTAAAATGTTAATTCACATAGGAAATAATTACATGGGCTTTATCTTGCTACCTTATTTATCTTAAAACAAACTTAGTAATTAAAACTTGAAAGAAATACAAAAGTAAGAACACACAGAAATAAACTGAAAAACACGAACACAACGTTTTCTTCACTGATAAAAGTCACATATAATTGGAATTTGGGTAAGGCGGAATTGCTACATCGCTAATCCCTTCTAACATCAAAACTACACTTTTCATAGTTGGACGCAGAACAGGTTCATCTTGGATACACCAAAGTGCCACCTTAACCATATTTTCTAGGATTTTCTTATCCATGGCTTCCCAAAGAACAAGCTTGTTTAACTGTCCAGCAACAAAACACTTGTATGCCCAATCGTAAAGCAAAACCTCCTCAGTTTTCGAGACATTAACTTCAATGTTTCTTCTGCAGCATAAAATTTCCAGCAGCACAATTCCATAGCTATAAACATCAGCCTTCACTGATATTGGGGTGTTCTTGTGCCATTCTGGGGCCAAGTACCCTCTGGTCCCTCTTACCCCTGTGAATGTTCTAGTTTGATCTGGCATTAGAAGTTTTCCTAGCCCAAAGTCAGATATCTTAGCAGTCCAGAACTCATCCATCAAAATGTTTTGAGGCTTTATGTCACAATGAATGATTGGTGCCTCACACTCTTCATGGAGATAGAGGAGCCCTCTTGCAATCTCCAATGCTATTCTTACTCTTTCGTCCAAATCTAAATGTCTTTCAACCCCAAAGATTAGTTTTCCAAGAGAATCGTTGGTCATGTATTCATAAACCAGAAGCCTTCTTGAACCTTCGACACAATAACCTAGCAAGTGAACTAGGTTCTTGTGGTGGGTTTTTCCAATGGCTCTCATTTCTGCTTGAAACTCCCTCTCACCTTCTTCTACTAACTTCTCTAGCCTCTTCACCGCAATCAATCTCTTGCCTTTGTACAAAGACCCTTTGTAAACTGCTCCAAAAGAACCTTTACCCAACTCTTGTTTGAAATTATTGGTTGCTCTTTTCAGCTCATTGTATGAAAACCTTCTCAAAGTCACCTCTTCGTTAAGGCCCAAGTTCCCAGTCTCCATCAACCTTTGGTACCTTAAGACTCGAATCTTATACATGTAATGACAAGAGATTGCAATGGCTAAACATAAAAGCATACTAAATAGGGATGTGATGACAATGATCTCTATTGTTGCTTTGTTACTTGTAGTCTTGATTAGAGGTGGAGGTGGTGGTTCAGGCACAGAATTACCATTTCCCTTCAGGCTTTTGTTTCCAACCTTCAAGAACACCACGGTTCCCGGTTCATTGTCCCTTGTCATTCTAATATACCTCAAAGGCAACCCTTGTTTCTCGCAGCTTCCTTGCTGATAAATTGCAGCCCAACAGTTGCAATCAGCTAAACAAGCTAAGGAACATTCTTGTTCCTGTGACATTTTAGCCACGAAATAAGGATGATTCTCCCACGTAACATTCCTTATCGAGATCATGTTGTAATAAGCTAAACTATCTTTCTCACTTGCACACCTGATTTTTGAAAAGTTCCTCTTGCAACCTTTGGTGTCTTCAGCTGGATCTATTAAGTCAAAACCTGGAAGGCAATTACACACGGATTGAACTTCATCGAATGTGCAGTAGCTGTTGAAGCCACAAATACCCTTCAGTGAACATGCATCGCCACCCGGCCAACTTTTAACAATATGGAAGCCATTGTTGGAATGAGCATACAGCCGAAAAACCCCATCAACATCCAAAGTTGCCCGATAAATTATCTGGTTCTCGTCCCCATTTTTTATGGGGTTAGTCAAAGATGAATCAGTGTCAAGACTCATTATAACAGTCGAATCACTGCTGTTCATAATCTGAAGTAAACCTGTTTTGTTGAGATAAAGATGACTTTTGAAACCAATATTGAAAACATTAGAGGCCCAATAAGCATCTACTCCCGTGTCAGTTGAGTTTACTGGATATAGAACAAGATTTCCATCATCTTGCATCTTGAGACGAAACCGTCCAAATGAGTAGCTATCATGGGATGAACTAGAGACCAGTTCATGTCCATTAGAAAGAGATTGACCCCCTAACAAAGTATCAGTTGGGTAATCGAAACTTTGCCATATGATGCTGGACTTAGAATCATTATTGTACAGTACAAAGTTTCCAGAATCAAGCATGGAGGCAAAGGAAGCTTTTGCACTACCATTAGGTGCAATAACCTTCTCTTGTCCTTGTTCATTTGTTAGCACAAGTTTACCATCCTTGGTTAGTTGTAGCTTTGCATTTGAACTGACAGGAGGATCATTCCGATTTGCAGTCCATACCACTGTCTTGCTCCCAATTGCAGCCAACCAAATTGCAATGATAAAACCATTGCTTTGCTGTTGTGGAGAAAAGCCAAATGCAAACTGACCCGAAGGAGAATACCAGAGAGTGTGGTGAGGATCATTTGCGATCAGTGTGGAACCAGGTTCTATATTCTTGGGTGGTTGTGTTTGAGCTCTCGTACTTGAATATGATACTAAAGACATGAACAACACGAAAGTGGTGGTAGGGATCCATGAGACCATAACTGCTCAACTATTTGGTGTTGATGACTATTCAACTCATACAAGAAAAACAACGTTGCTGTTTCTTAATTCTGTCACTGACTTGCCTAGTTTAAATTAACTCGTTATTTGGTTTATATAAGGAGAGGAAATATCTTTTCAATAGCCAAAATGGAACGGTAAAAGTTGTCCCTTTTGTTTTATTAAGTGCATTTTATATATGTAGGTATATATGAATAACTAAATACATTTTTGTCTTTTTTTCATATAACGTTAACATTTCTTCATCATTTAGTGATGTGGTTGTTATAAATTTTTTTTTCATAAGGTTAATTTGAAATAGCTATACCACCGTTTATAAACAAATTAAATGGAATAGGCAAAAAAATTTCCATTTCAATGTCCTTGTCTTGGTGAAGAGAAATATATTTTGTTTATAAATGAATAATAAATTATATATATTAGGTCATGTATGACCAACAAAATATATTAATACTCTAAATATATTAAGATGCCATTCCTTGAGATTATATGATTTTTCATCTTTGCTTAAGGTTTTAAGGATCTTCATTTTTTCAAGATTTTTTGTTTTTTTGTAAGCAATTCATAACTTTTGAAATTAAGTTCTTCAAAATTTTTAATAGTATTTAAGTCACTGAGAAAATATATCCAAACGTTTTTTCCTCCAAGATACTTCATATAAAAATATTATTTTATTTTCACTTTTTTTATAAATTATTAAAATTAAAAAATAAAAATGATATTTTTATATTAAAAATAAAAAATTCCTTAGAGTATACAGCCATTTACTTTTCATAATCAATCTGAAGTCAACAGTGACCTAGAAAATTTGCAATTCAAGAGTTTTAGCGTAGATGGAGTCTTTCTAGGAAATATTGTCCAATTCAAGATAAAAAAAAGGCTTCAAAGGAATCATAAAAGAGGAAAACAATCATTATGCTAAATACTTTTTTTCTATCAAATATATTATATTTCAATTTTTTAAATTTTTTAAATTTTAATTTTAAAAACTGTTACTTTAATTTTTAATTTTATTTTAAATTAAATTATATATAACATAAAGATTGACATGAAATAATATTTAAATTAATTAATTATTATTTAAATGTGATTATTATTTTTTAATTGAATAAAGATTAAAATCAGTATTTTTTTCAAATATAAAAATTAAAAAATGTTTTATTAAGACTAAAATTAAAATATAAAATATTTTGAAAAGAAAAATATATCTAAGCAAAATTATTTATCATAGGTCTTCAATTTTTTTCTAATTAAGGGTTTTAAAAAAATAATTATTAAATTAAAATTTATTTGAAACATATTTCTTATGTAGGATTAAATTTTTTTAAAAATAAATGGCCCTTCAAGAACATAACAATTGTGATACATGTAAAAAATAACACTAAACAAGAAATATATTTCAAATTAACTCTAATTTAATAATTAGTTTTTTTAAAATCTCTAATTAAAAAAAAAAATCCTTAGCATCACATCACCTTAGTTCCTTGTCAGCAGATGAAAGATTGTCTATTTATCTATGACGACTTTTAGGACCTTTTAATTTTCTTGGCCGATGTTTCAAATCAACGTCCTATCAAATTAAGCAATTCATGACTTTTACCCTCAATCGAGACTCTCTTCCCACTCTATTAAAGAAAGCCTTCCAATAAAAAAGAAACGTAAGATCACAGGTCTCAGTCACCTCATTGAATTGTTTTTCCTTGACTTCTAAGAGACTCTTCCCTCCCCTTTTGCGTTCCCTAATAAAGAAAAAGTCTCATAATATTTTAAAAAAATTAATGTGTTATTAGAATACAATTTTTATTTCATTAATTAATTAAAATATTTTAATATAATTTTAAATAATTATTATGAAAATATATAATTTTTAATAATATGATAATTCATTATTGAAGGTAGTGTAACAAAAATTATATTATCAATACATATAAATTACTATTAAGTTTAAATGTGGAGATAAAAAAAATAATGAACAAATTTATCGACAAATAGTTTTAAAAAGTAAAATCAAGTTAGTTTATTTAATGTTTTTTTTTAATTCTGTTAATTTTAATTTTAATTCCTATCCCGTCTTTTCAAAATTTTAAATTACAGAATTTTTTAATAATTTATATGGATCTTCATCTATTTTTATAAATTGAGTATCCAATTATGCTCCAAAAATTTAGATTCTTTAAAAGATAAAAAGTCTTTTCTAAAAAATAAAATTTATTTAAAATTAATTTTTTATCTAATATATTTTTTTGCTATGTCAATGCAAGTATTAGTTGGGTATGAATGATAGTATTTTTTTTTATTATTATTATATAATAGACTATCGACTATTATAAATCGATACACACATCTATAGCCTGACATTTGTGATCATCACAATAGTATCGTACAGGGAAAGACGATAACAGTGTTGGCGGTTAAAGTACGTCAAGACTATCCTTCGAAAGAGGACGATCCTGCTGTTGTATCACGTGTGTCAAGGTATTTTTTTTATTCGATGGTTTATCGTCGTAACATAGGTGTTATCCAATTCTATACTTGTGAGCCTCTGGTGCTTTATCGGCTATAGAATCAGGATCTTCAGCGAGTAAAGAGTATGCAAGAAAGGCCAAACAATAGTATGTGACACAAGCTTCAAAATTCGCTCCAAGTAAGACTTTGGAAAATTTCAAGTTCCCATGAATTAAATATGAAGCTTGCTGTATGTAAGCAAGTCAATGAGCCACATCTGCTGCTATTTTTAAGCATGATGTCCAATGCAGGGGCTTAGCCCTTCCTGATCTTGAACCTGCACATACAACAGTAGCCAACTCAGTTAACAAAGAATCATCAAACAGGCAAAGTTGAAATTGATTGGTCCCCTCTTTTGCATTTCAGGATTTTTGACAAAGAATAACAATAAAAGATAGAACTTTTAAAATAAAATAGTATGAATAAACAATGGGTGAAATCAAATGGAAGAAGTATGATAGTCAACATAGCATGCTAACACGTTTAATCAAACATTACCCAAAATAGTCTAAAAAGAGTGCCAATAACAACTCAACCCTGTGATTATCCTCACAACCCCGAGAGCAAAACAACAAGGCACCTCTGCTAGGAAAAAACAAGCAATTAATAAATAGTGGCAACAACACTACACATGGGATTACTGACCAATCTGACACATCACAACCCCCTCTTCTAAATGATAGTCCTGATACACTTTGACTGTCAACACTATTATTGTCTTTTCTTATCTGAGACTATTGTGATAATGGCACGTGTAAAGTTATGAATATGCATAGGCATTTGATGGCCAATAGTCTATCAAATAAAAAAAAAAAACTATCATTGATGCATGACTAATATTTGTATTACCATGATAAAAAAAATATAGAGAATTAATTTTAAATAAACTTTATTTTAGAAATTAGTTTTTAAAAGTGTATTATCTAAATAAAAAAAGGCGCATTATTTCATACGTTGAAAATACTTTATTTTTTAATACATGAACTCTACTTGGTGGCAATATACATTATTCATAACAACAACCTCCACAACACAACTTTAGATGAAAATTAAACATGTGTACAAAAGAAAAACTATATCATATCCCTAAAAGATTATTTAAGCAAATGTGGTGGAGAGGGAGGATTTGGAATATCTTTCAATCCTTCTAACATCAAGATGAGATTCTTGATTGAAGGACGAAGAAATGGGTCATCTTGCACACACCACAGTCCCACCTTCACCATTCTTTCCAATAACTTCCACTCTACAACTTCACCTCCATCATCTTTAACAAGCTTATTTAACTCCCCTGATTCAAAGCATTGATATACCCAGCTAGAAAGAAGTATCTCCTCAGCTGAGGAAACATCTATATCTATGCTGCTTCTGCGGCACACAATCTCCAATAGTACCATGCCATAACTGTAAATATCCCATTTTACTGATACTGCTGCGTCCTTCTTCCATTCAGGTGCCAAATACTTGCTCATCCCATCATCCTCTTTATTCATTCTTGAATATTCTGGCTTTAATAGCCTTGCCAATCCAAAATCAGATATCTTTGCCACCCATGCTTCATCCATAAGTATATTTCTAGGCTTTATATTGCAGTGGATAATACCAACATCACACTCCTCATGTAGATATAGTACTCCTCTAGCCACATCCAATGCAATTTTTAGTCTCTCTCCCCATGATAAACGCTTCTCTCCTTTGAACAGAAGATTTGCAAGGGACCCATTGCTGACATATTCATAAACAAGAAGCTTCCTTGATCCTTCAATGCAAAAACCAATGAGCTTAACCAAATTCCTATGATGTGTTCGAGCAATGGCAGTGATTTCAGCTCGGAATCCCCTCTCCCCTTCATCAGCAATTCTCTCAAGTCTCTTCACAGCAATGCTTCTGTTACTATCACCGATTGTACCTCTATAAACTGCTCCATATGATCCTCTACCTATCTCTTCCGTGAAGCCTCGAGTTAATCTCTCAAGTTCATCAAAAGAAAATGAACGCAAAGAACATTCTTCCGTAAATCGCAGATCCTCGCATGAAGACAACAACTTTGTATATCTATAAACTTGGCGCCTATAAGTAATGCAAATAGACGCCGCAAAAACCAAACTTAACAATGAAATGCTACCCAAAGTAAGGGCTAGAATCATTATCAGATTTCTCTTGTTATCAACAACGACCATCGACTTCTTCTCCTTAATGACATCTTCTGAAGGCATCTTTAAGAAAGCCACGGTTGGTGGATCTTGACCTTGAATCCAGCTGCCATATATAAGGGGAAGCCTATATTTTTTGCAGTTTCCCTCAGAATATAACACTGCCTTGCAATCACAATCTTCCAGCAAAGACTTCTCACAAGTTTCCCTCTTCATTGGTATAACCGAATAGGGTCTATCACCCCAAGACATACCTTTCAGGAAAGTAACATTGAAAAACTTGGAGGGATCTCTACTACGTTCACAATCATCCATGCTATCGTTCCGCACGCAGTCCAGAAACATGTTCACACTACTTTTGGACACGAAACCAGGATAACACTCACACACAGCATTGCCTGCTACGTTTGAGCAGTAACTGTTCAAGCCACAAAACCCCTTGATCATGCATTCATCCGACAAGGCTTTCCACAACACTTGTACGTGTGAGATACTATTGCTCTCCAATTGGTGCTCATACAATCTCAAATTACCGTCTACATCAAGTTTTGCGAGATAGATAAATGAACTTGTGTTGTGTGACTTAATTCCAGGGTAGCTACCATTAAAACATGAAAGGTAATCTCCAATGAGGCAAAGAGAGCCCGAGCGGGTAAGACTGAGCCTTTGGTAATCTGGTACACGAGTATTTGAAGCCCAATAAGCATCATTTGAATCTCCTAAGCCAATATCAGGGTAAGCAACGAGGTTTCCATCTCCTTGCATGCTGAGAAAGAAACGTCCACTAGAATGGTCTGAATTGGAGATACTAGAGACCAGTTCAGCATTTTCAGTTAAATTCTGACCTCCTAATATGGTGTCTGTTGGGTGATCAAAGCTCTGCCAAATAATAGTATGGTTGTCACCATAGAGCACAAAGTTGCCAGAATCAAGCATAGATGCCGAAGCTACTAATGTGAAGTCTGAAATGAGATATTGTCCTTCTTTCCCACTTTGTAAAAACCGCAAGCCAGTATTTGTCAAAAGCAACGTAGAATTTTTGGAGATTGTGGGGCTATCACGGTTGGCAGTCCACACAATAATGTCTTCACTTTCGGGTGTACTAACTAGCCATATTCCAACAGCAAAACCGTTGCCTTGTGGGTAAAAGCCAAAAGCAAAATGGCCAGAACTTGATGCCCATGAATTGTTATGGCTGCCTTCAGGAGAGAGCCTAGACCCCAACTCAATTTTGCTTTCAGTTGAGCCTTCTTTTGCAAAGAACATGATGAAGAAGAAGAACAGTGAGAACATAACAGGTTTGGAAGCCATACTACTTTTCTGGTTTCTCAAAGAAACTACTATTGCTGATCAAGTCACTCGCCAAACTCGAACTTTTACGTTCCAAACTTTAGCGTGGGGACTGTTTAATAATTCTCCATTTCAAGAGTTGACTAGCTGTCATGAATTGCTACAAGTCTTCCACCGAAGAAACCACCACTCACGCGTTGCAATGCCACTCTCGATCCTGGATTTCCACGAATGAATTACGTAAATAACTAGTGGTCCACATGCCGTGTTGACTGGTAATGTTCAAACATGGGAAAGAAAAAATTATTTCTTGCATAAACCATACATTATATGAATCAGGGAACAATTGAAATTTTAGTTTACGCTTTACAAATAACATAGGTGTCATTACAGTCTTTAGGAGATGATAACAACATTACGACAAGGTCAGAAACAGTTTCTTTCTGAATGGACGTGTAATTAAAGTTTAATCTGCGGGGTGTCTCAAGATTGTCTTTATTAAAAAAATATATAAATACTTCACTGTCAAAAACAGAAAAAATCTAGCTATATGGCTCCTCTATTTCACATTTCTAACTAGTATTGTTACTTTTTTTTTATTTGAGCTTATAATTTCCAGTTTTTAGCCTTTACGTCAAGCTTTTTTTTTTTTTTTGTTATCGATAGTTGTGCTCATTTTTCTTAAATTTTTGGTGTCATAGGTTTTTTTTTGTGTGTATTTGATAAATTATAAATAGGCATTATCATTTAATGATGAATTGACTAATAACTAAAGAAGTCTGATTTTCACAACCATAACTTCATATCTAACTCCTTCAATAATGTGTAACAACACATCACCAATATATAGTATTAAAAAAATTATAAATATATATATATATGAAATAAAATTTACAACGTCGCAAAACAATTAGTATGCATTGCTTTGTTTTTTCTATGTAATATTTTAGTCACTCAAATATTCAAGACATATCACAAACCCAGTTGCATGCTATAAATTTCTAAATTTTACGATCCTAATTACACTAATTCAATACTTAATATCCCAGTCGCAAATTTTTCTTCATTTTGCATATCTTTTGCTTGTCTATGAGGCTTTAAGATAGAATTGCAGCATTAATTTTGGGCATGGTTATTATTTTCTTACGAAACAGAACTTACCGTTTAACACCCAATCCAATACCAATCTTTTGTTCATTTCAGAATTTAAACTTTATTCATCTTTTCCCGTTAATCAAACCATTCTAGAGATCAATTTATTAGGAGTCAAAATTAAAGATTTTGTATGTAGGGCTTTTTGTGAGTGAAGGATATTAGATTCAATTAGCTCACCTGGAATATATATATATATATATATATATATATATATATATATATATATATATATATATGAAGCTTAATTGGGTTAAGTATTGTTATTATTTACTGTAATTCAATTGTTAATTTTTTTATTATTTGACTAACAATTTGAATGAAAAGATCAATTTTTATAAATAAAATATAAAATTTATAATAAATTTTATTATAAAATTCATATTGAGATAACAAAAAAAAATTATGTTTACAATTATCAAACGTAATACTATGATAAAAGACCAATACATTAAAAAAAATTAGAAAATAAGTTCAATAAATATTCACTTAAGTAATATAAATATCTATTTTTATTTATATCTTTACTAATATTATAACTGAAATTAATTCCTTAACTCAACATTCTTTTCCTTCTAATTAGAAATCTTAATTAAATAGAAATAACTATTAGTCTCTAGAATTTCTAAAACTTTATAATTGTTGACTTTACGTTGTTCTATCTCTTTTCTAATTCTTGAAAATAATAATTTATAATCCACTGTAAATGGCCAATTTATAGAAGTATTGAAAGGAGAGATAAGCAATTAATTTAAAATAAATAAACTTGAATCAAAAGTAAAAAATTAAAATTATATATAAGTTAGGATTTAGATCCTTTTTTCCCTAATTAAAAAAATTAGTTATACATAATAACATGACAGAAAATCACAGGAAAAAAAATTTAAAATGATTTTATAAAAATTGATAAATTAAACACTTAATTTCTCAAAAATGCAAGTTATTTAACTCAAGGTTTGTAAAAAGAGAAAATATTTTTAAAGATGAAATCGTTAAAAATTGTCTTACATATGAGATTTTTACATATCATTTATATTTTTCACTGATATTTTAGTATTAATAATGCTAGTTTAAGCGTTATCATGTTTTGTAGATTACGTTATTCTGATTTTCTAGTGTTAATGACAATTTTAAGATTGGTAACATTGCTTCTCCTTAAAATTTTATTTTAAATTTTCTTAAAGTTTATGATTAAAATAAATCTAAAATAATAAAATTGAAATATTTTAATACAAATTATTTTATAAATTTAACTTAATATAAATTATAATAATTATTTAAAAATATTAAATTTTGCATTATAAATACTCTTGTAATAATATAAAATTATTAATTTTTTTAATTATTTACATTAAATAAAGTGTTATGACACTTATCTCTTCGTTAAAATAGGAGAAAGAAAAAAGGAAATAGGATGTGGACAGGGAGTGTACCATGGCCTCAACATTTGGACATGAAGAAAAATAAGGGATACGAATCTAGTGCAATTATTGTGGGAACTACATGTGCAATTCTTTGTTCACTTAAGTCAATTTGACAAGGCTTAAACAATTTTTATAATTTTTACTTAAGTCCATATGCACTAACTTAAGCGAATGAAGGCTTAAGTGAGTAATACATGCATGGAGCGAAACAATGAACTAAAGCGAGTGTTTGATGTTTTCCAATTTAAGTTATTATTTTTTATTTTTTTTGCATACTCGCTTAAGTGCACATTGTTTACTTAAGTCATTCTATAATATCTTAAGCTAATTTATCAGTCCAAAAGAGCATTTTCTTTGCATTATTTTTATGTAATTTTTGCTCAAGTTAAAGTATATCCACGTAAGTCAAGCCATGCACGCTTAAGCAAAAGTGTAATCCTGAAAAGTGTACTCTCTGTTCTTTTAGGCTTAAGATATTAAGGTATCGCTTAAGCCTTAGAAATGTGCGCTTAAGCCCACAACTCACTAGCTTAAGCCAAATCAAGCACACTTAAACCAGTTTGTAATCCTGGGAGGTAAGCTCTATTATTTTTCGCTTAAGCACGTATATTTTAGCTTAAGCACATAAGGCACTCATTTTATTTCATTGTCTCGCTCCATACATGTATTACTCGCTTAACCTAGTGCATATGGACTTAAGCAAAAATTGTAAAAATTGCTTAAATGCATATAAGCCTAAGCAAAAATTATAAAAATCGCTTAAGCTTTGTCAAATTGGCTTAAGCGAACATAAAAATATGTTAACTACACTAAATCCGTATCCAAAAATAAAACTTAATTTTGATTTGGACATAAATTGTCAAAATCATCATCAAATTCACTCACTGTCCAATATTGTATTCATTTCTTCTTTTTTGAGATACTTCTTTTTGCAGTGAATGGTCATACAATATGACATCCATTTTGAATTAATAATGCAAGCAAAAATTCAATGAGAGCTTTCAATCCATTTTAACATATTCATGTTTTAAAAGTTAACTATTTTGAAAGCTATTCAATATATAGTTTAACTTTCAAAAATTAATTATTAATATTTTTATTGTATTTTTTATTACTTTAAAAATTAATTTACCATTTATATGATTAAGATTTAAATATATTATTGGTCCTCGTAAATATAGGTAGTTTATGATAAGTTCTTATAAAAGTTTTTGTTAAAACGTAGTTTCTAAAAAGTTAAAAATTTAAGATTTAATCCTTGCAATCAACTCATTTCTGTTAGGTGCTGGCAAATAGAAAACTAGCTCAGCATTGTTATGCATCATGCCATGTCATTTATTTTATAATATTTTATTATTTAAAAAAATTATAAAAAATACTTAACATATTTTATATATTTACAAAACAAATCTTCTTCTTCCTTTTCAATCTCCTCCCTTTTCAACCAATGAAGCTCTCACCTTTCTCATTTCAATCCTAACTTCTATCATAATTCTCATCGCCACTCTTTTTTCTTCAACTCCTCCACTCCTACCGTCAACTTCTCTGTCGTCCCTCCTTAATTAGGAAAAAAAACTGTTGATGAAGAAATATAATAGTATAAGTTTTGTTTGATTTTAAACCTATTATTAATTAGTGAGTTTTTCATGCCTGTATAATTTATTAAATTGATTTTTTAATAAAAATAAAAGTATATTACATAATTATTTTTTATTTTATTAAATCTTATAAATAAAAAATTATTATTATTAAATATTCCATTATATTTAATTAAATTAAACTTACAATATAAATTTTAAAAATATTTTTATAAAAATATTTAAATTTTAAATTGCAACTAAATTAAAAAAATAAATATATAATATAGGATAAATCACATAATTAAACAGGAAGTTAATAATTTGTAAAAATACTTTCATTTAAAATAATCGTTATGTTGAATGGAGACTCACGTATTTAATCTTTTTAAATTTAGTAATTTATTAATTAGTCTTAAATTCATATTATTTATTTTATTAATGACCTTACACTGTATTATTCATTGATGATATATTTTGGAATCAGTTAATGATTTATTGTATTTAAACTTTTATTTTATTTGTTCATAGTATCGGAAAAAGAGTGACTCAAAATAATTTTTGTAATTAACAAAACTAGTTAATAGCCCCGTGCATTGCAAGGTACTTTTATATTAAAATAAAAAAGAAATATATATATATAAAATAAAATTGTTTGAAATATCAAATTTAAAAAAATAATTTTATTCTGTAATTATAGATAGTATATATCATAATAATAAAGATGTAATAAAATTAAAATAAATTTAAAAGTAATTTTAATTTTAAAATATTAATGTCACAGAGTAAAGTAACTTCAAAATCTCACTCCCGAGATGGAATACTTTTCAATTATAAGCACTAAAAGAATTCCTGAAAGTAACCCAAAAAATAACGAAACTAGTTACAATTTCACATACTGTAATTGATAGGGGGTGGGAGGGAGCTGAGAAAATGACAACAACTGATAAAATAATAATATTGAAGTTTGATGATTGATTTTCCTTCTATTTTCTGAATAATGATTCCATTCAATTTGCAATCTATAATCATGTTGTTGGCGAGATCCGTCCCCCAAAATATACTAATAAAGGAGACCATAAAGCTACTAATTTGGAAAGGCCTTTATTTCTTTTATTGCCGTGTTACTCACCCATGACTTCCCAGATAATTTATCTAGCTATCAATTTTCTTAGTTGTTTGCTGCTTTCCATTTGCAATATCATCGTGTTATAGGAAATAATTACATCAGCTTTAAACTTGGTATCTTATTATATCTAAAAACAACCCACAAACAAGCTTAAAAGTCAAAACTTGAAAGGAATACAAAAACACTTAAAACAACACAAGGCAATAATAAACTGAAAACCACGAACACAGCATTTTCTTTACTGATAACAGTCACACAGAATTGGAATCTGGGCAAGGAGGAATTGCTACATCGGTAATCCCTTCTAACATCAAAACCACACTTTTCATGGATGGCCGCAGAAAAGGTTCGTCTTGGATACACCAAAGTGCCACCTTAACCATATTTTCGAAGACATTTTTATCCACAGCTTCCCAAGGAACAAGCTTGTTTAACTGTCGAGCAACAAAACACTTATAAGCCCAACCAGAAAGCAGAACCTCCTCAGGTTCCGAGACAGTAACTTCAATGTTTCTTCTGCAACACAGAATTTCCAACAGCTCTATTCCATAACTATAAATATCTGCTTTCACCGATATTGGGGTATTTTTGTGCCATTCTGGAGCCACATACCCTCTTGTCCCTCTAACCCCAGTGAAGGTTCTGGTTTGATCTGGCATTAGAAGTTTCGCTAGGCCAAAATCTGATATCTTGGCAGTCCACAACTCATCCATCAAAATGTTTTGAGGCTTTATGTCACAATGAATGATGGGTGCCTCACACTCTTCATGGAGATAGAGGATCCCTCTTGCAACATCCACTGCTATTCTTACCCTCTCATCCCAGTCTAGACGTCTCGTAGCACCGAAGATAAGCTTTTCAAGTGAACCATTGGTCATGTATTCATAAACCAAAAGCCTTTTAGAACCTTCAGCACAAAACCCCAACAACCGAACAAGATTCCTGTGGTGGGTTTTTCCAATGACTCGCATTTCTGCTTGAAACTCCCTTTCTCCTTCTTCCACCAACTTCTCTAGTCTTTTCACTGCAATTGATCTCTTTCCTTTTGACAAAGCCCCTTTGTAAACTGCTCCAAAAGAACCTTTACCCAACCCTTGTTTGAAATGGTTTGTTGCTTTTTTCAGCTCACTGTATGAAAACCTTCTCAAAGTCACCTCTTCATTAAGACCCAAGTTACCAGTCTCCACCAGCCTCTTGTACCTTAACACTCGAATTTTGTACATGTAATGGCTGGAGATTGCAATGGATAAACATAAGAGTAGAGCAAATACGGATGTAATGACAATAATTTGCACTGTTGCTTTGTTACTTGTAGTCGTGATTAGAGGCTGAGGTGGTTGTTCAGGCCCAGGATAACCACTGAGCTTTTTGTTTCCCAGTCCCACCTTTAAGAATAGCGAGGTTTCAGGGTCACTACTTTGTTTTCTTCTGACATATCTCAAAGGTACCCATAGTTTCTTGCAATTTCTAGCCTGGGAGTCATACAATGAAGCCCAACAGTTGCAATCAAATAAACAAGCAGAGGTGCAGTCGTCTTCTTGAGACATTTTAGCCATGAAATAAACACGATCCTCCCCTACAAGATTCTTCATCAGGGTCATGTTATATAAGGTTGCAGCTGCACCATCTTTCTCCCATCTGCACTCTTCTCTTTCAAAGGTACTTTTGCATCCAAGAGTACGTTCATTTGGATCTATAAACTCAAAACCATCAAGACAGTTGCACACAGGATGTTCATCATCAACTGTGCAGTAGCTGTTGAAACCACAAAAACCCTTTACTCCACATGCTTTCTCATCTCCCGGCCATCTTTCAACTTCTTGTACAGTGCCGTTGTTAAAATGCACATAGAGCCGAAAAATCCCATCAGGATCCAGGGTTGCACGATAAATGATCTGCTCCTCATTTCCATATAAAGATGAATGACTTAAAAGCCACTCAACTGTAAAATCACTGACATTTTTGAGCTCCAATTGCCCTGTTTGGTTGAGGTAAAGATAAATTTTAGAACTACTTGAGGGCGTGGAGGTGGAGGTGGAGGTCCAATAAGCGTCCCATTGTAAATCACTTGTGTTAACTGGATACAGTCCAAGAGCTCCATCATGTATCTTGAGACGAAACCGTCCACTTGAAGGCTTCATCTCTGATGAACTCGACACCAGTTGACTTTCACCGAATAGACTTTGACCCCCTAACAATGTATCAGTTGGGAAATCAAAAGTCTGCCATATGATGCTGGAGTTCTTGTCGTATAGTACAAAGTTTCCAGAATCAAGCATGCAGGCAAAGGAGGCTTTTGCGTTATTAGTATTAACTGCTATCACCTTCGCTTGTCCTTGCTCATATTTTAGCACAAGTTTCCCGTCCATGGTTAATTGTAGCTTTGCATTTGAGGTGACTGCAGGATCATTCCTGTTTGCAGTCCACACCACTGTCTTGCTCTTTCCACTAACCAACCAAATTGCAACAACAAAGCCAGTGCCTTGTGCTTCCGGATAAAAACCAAATGCAAATTGACCTAAAGGGGAAGGCCAAAAAGAAGAATGAGTACTGTTTGGGAATAGTGTGGTTCCTAGTGCTATATGCTGCTTTGGTGGTTGTGTTTGAGCTCTTGTACTTGCAAACATGAGCATCAACAAGATGATAGTTGTGACAATGGTATCCATAACTAATGGATTACTTGGTAATAGATATTTTGACGATTTAAAAGTTGAAACTGAGTGCAAAGAGAAGCAAAGTTGCTGATACGTTCATTGCCTTACGTAGTTAGTTAAAGCAATTCCCAAAGAGTTGGTTTTGTGGGTCAATGTCTAAGTCAACATTGTCACATGCAGAATTGGCTGTGTAAGTCAAGTCATTCCACAGTGTGAATAGCACTGCGTTTGTGTTTTATCAGAAAATTACAAGGTTCAAGATGAGAGGACTGAAATGGATAGATGAAATGAATTTATTTTTGTGGCTCCACAAACATCAATCACTTTCCTTACCTTCAAGTTCAAGAGTATTTTTTGAAGTTTGAATGAGCGTGAAGCGGATAAGATAAAAAAATAGAATAAAACAATATGTATTATTTAAATGAGTTAAAATAAAAGAAAATATAAAAATTATTTATTTTAATGAATAAAAGAGTAAAAAATTATTAAAAATAATTCTAAATAATTAAATTAAAATTTAATTTAAATACACTAATTTTTTACATTTTCATTCTTAACCTCTTATATTAGAAACTTATAATAATTAATAAAAAATTATATTTGTAAAAAATTTTACACTAATAATATACTTAAATTAAACTCTTTAAATTAATTTAAAAATAAAATTTTTATTATAATATTTTTAATAAAAAATAAAAGAAATCATGGGATATAAGAGAAATAATGAAGATGGATTTTGAGCCATTAAATATAACTAAGATAATTATATAAATTAATTTAAATTATATATTTTATTTAATATATGTTATATTAAACATTATTTCAAGTAGTTTTAATCAAATTCTAAAGTTTTGAAAGTTAAAAAAAGAAAAAAAGTAATAAAAAAGAAAAAGAAAAGAAAGTTAATAAGAAAATTTTAAATTGGAGAAATTAAAAAATATGGAGGATTTTTTCTTTCTCCCATTCAAAAAACTATCAAACACACACTCAAAATACTCATATCATGAAAATATAGTCTTTTATTACAACACCCATGGTGGCAAGCACACAAGCTACCCTTGGATGAAAATGAACCACAATAATTCAAGATAATGATGAAACTAAAGATGCATACAAACAAAAATTATACTATACATCTACGATTATTAGCCAAGTGAGCTGGACAGGGAGGATTTGGAATATCTTTCAATCCTTCTAACATCAAGATGAGATTCTTGATTGAAGGACGAAGAAATGGGTCATCTTGCACACACCACAGTCCCACCTTCACCATTCTTTCCAATAACTTCCACTCTACAACTTCACCTCCATCATCTTTAACAAGCTTATTTAACTTCCCTGATTCAAAGCATTGATATACCCAGCTAGAAAGAAGTATCTCCTCAGCTGAGGAAACATCTATATCTATGCTGCTTCTGCGGCACACAATCTCCAATAGTACCATGCCATAACTGTAAATATCCCATTTTACTGATACTGCTGCGTCCTTCTTCCATTCAGGTGCCAAATACTTGCTCATCCCATCATCCTCTTTATTCATTCTTGAATATTCTGGCTTTAATAGCCTTGCCAATCCAAAATCAGATATCTTTGCCACCCATGCTTCATCCATAAGTATATTTCTAGGCTTTATATTCCAATGGATAATACCAACATCACACTCCTCATGTAGATATAGTACTCCTCTAGCCACATCCAATGCAATTTTTAGTCTCTCTCCCCATGATAAACGCTTCTCTCCTTTGAACAGAAGATTTGCAAGGGACCCATTGCTGACATATTCATAAACAAGAAGCTTCCTTGATCCTTCAATGCAAAAACCAATGAGCTTAACCAAATTCCTATGATGTGTTCGAGCAATGGCAGTGATTTCAGCTCGGAATCCCCTCTCCCCTTCATCAGCAATTCTCTCCAGTCTCTTCACAGCAATGCTTCTGTTACTATCACCGATTGTACCTCTATAAACTGCTCCATATGATCCTCTACCTATCTCTTCCGTGAAGCCTCGAGTTGATCTCTCAAGTTCATCAAAGGAAAATGATCGCAAAGAACATTCTTCAGTAAATCCCAAATCCTCGCATGAAGACAACAACCTTGTATATCTATAAACTTGGCGCCTATAAGTGAAGAAAACGGACAATGCAAAGACCAAAGATAACAATGAAATGAAACCCAAAGTAAAGGCCAAAATCGTTATGATACTTCTCTTGTTATCCACAACGACCTTAGGCTTCCTTGAGGACATGTCGGTGTTGTTTGGAGTTTGACTAATTGCATTTGCTGAATGCATCTTGAAGAGTGCCACGTTTGCGACATCTGGAAGTTTACTTCCATAAATAAGCGGAAGCCTATACTTTTTGCAGTTTCCATCAGTATATAATGCCGCCTTGCAATCACAATCTTCCATTAAAGACTTCTCACATGCTTCCTTGTTCATTGGTATAACCGAATATGGAGTATCATCCCAATATATGTTCTCCAAGCGAGTCACATACAAAATCGTTGGGTCTCCACTGTCTTTGCAATCATCTTTGCTATCGAAAGCTGGTATGCAGTTTATAGATACGTTACCGCTGCTTTTGGAGGGAACAAAACCAGGAAAACACTCACACACAGCATCGCCTGCTACGTTTGAGCAATAACTGTTGAAGCCACAAAACCCCCTGATACGACATTTATCAACAGTGGTGTTCCACAGTACTTGAACATGTGAGCTACCATTGTCCTCAAATTGGTGCTCATACAATCTAAAGTTCCCATCTACATCAAGTGTTGCACGGTAGATTGAATTTTCAGTGTTGGTGCTGTTCCTTAAACAGTGAACTGGAGTGCGGACGGAAGTATAATAATTGAGGCACAGAGAGCCCGAGATGTTAAGCGCGAGATTGGCAGCCCCATCATAAGTATTTGAAGCCCAATAAGCATCATAGGCATTTGCTTGGCTGTTCAGAGGGTAAGCAACTAGGTTTCCATCTCTTTGCATGCCGAGAAAGAAACGTCCACTGGAATGGTCTGAATTGGAGATACTAGAGACCAGTTCAGCATTTTCAGTTAAATTCTGACCTCCTAATATGGTGTCTGTTGGGTGATCAAAGCTCTGCCAAATAATAGTATGGTTGTCACCATAGAGCACAAAGTTGCCAGAATCAAGCATAGATGCCGAAGCTACTAATGTAAAGTCTGAAATGAGATATTGTCCTTCTTTCCCACTCTGTAAAAACCGCCAGCCAGTATTTGTCAAAAGCAACGTAGAATTTTTGGAGATTGTGGGGCTATCACGGTTGGCAGTCCACACAATAATGTCTTCACTCTCGGGTGTGCTAACTAGCCATATTCCAACAGCAAAACCGTTGCCTTGTGGGTAAAAGCCAAAAGCAAAATGGCCAGAACTTGATGCCCATGAAGTGTTATGGCTGCCTTCAGGAGAGAGCCTAGACCCCAGCTCAATTTTGCTTTCAGTTGAGCCTTCTTTTGCAAATAACATGATGAAGAAGAAGAACAGTGAGAACATAGCAGGTTTGGAAGCCATACTACTTTTCTGGTTTCTCAAAGAAACTACTATTGCTCATCAAGTCACTTAGCGTTGGGACCGTTTAATAATTCTCCATTTCAAGAGTTGACTAGCTGTCATGAATTGCTACAAGTCTTCCACAGAAGAAACCACCACTCATGCGTTGCAATGCCACTCTGGATCCTGAATTTCCACGAATGAGTTACGTAAATAACTAGTGGTCCACATGCCGTGTTGACTGGTAAATGTCCAACATGTAAAAAACATCAAGATAGGTAAATTTTATATCTGCATAAACCACAAGTCAGAAACTGCTTCTGTCTGAATGTAGTTGGCTCTATGAGTCCTCTGTTTTTTAGCGTGGGAACTGATAAAGCACAAGAACAATTGAGAAAAAACTAATTGAATAATAGGGATACATGCTTTAAGGATGACATGGGTAGCCAATTTAATGTATTATTTCATCTGAGCAAGTAAACGGCGACCTATTGAATTAATAGGATACCAAATTTCCAGTGTTTTATTGACTCAATAATCATGGCTAAGTCAATGCTTAACTTTCATTTTATTTTTTTTTTGCGTGTTTGTGATACATTTTGCTTGCCTTTGGGGTTTTGAGATAGAACTAGAATAGGAATTTTGGGCTTGGTTATTATCTTTTGAACCGAACCTAATTAAATATGAAATAGTTTGTTATTTTGTGTCGTGCAGGGTACATAGAAATTAAGTTTACGCTTCAAGAAAGCATTGGTAAGTACAGTCCACCTGAGGCAGAGAACGAAATCATCATGATATATTGCCGCTCATAGCAGCTCAATTATGGGATTATTTCCCGTGAAAGTAGCTGAATTAAGTTATTTTACAAGTCTAAACCGCATTCAAGAGCAGCTAAAGCAAATTTAGTATTAGTGTCAGTTTGATGTTTGGAGTTGGACAAAAAAACTATTGCATTAACTAGACTCAGATTACAAAGTGTAGGGATGGTGAAAGGTAATACTAAAATCGAATGTTTTGTTTAATACCACAAGCAACAAAGATCCATTAAAAATATCAAAAGTTCGCATAACCATAATTTGTGTTTTGCGTTTTCAAATTTGTCTTCCTTTCTCTAAGACCTGAACCTTGGAGCATAACATGAAAGTTAAACTACTTATGCCACATTGTAATAGTCAAATAAAAATTTCACAATTGGAAGTTTTCCGTTTTATGACCCAAACTAGACACTAACATTGGAAGTTTCTCCTTCCTAATATGTTCTATCGACCAAGAATATGTGTGTAAAAGTGATCTTTCTGCCTGTGACTCCGTTCAGGAGAAGATGATCTTACTCCTTGCCTCCTCTGTCTCTAGACCAAACTGATTTGATAACTGAAACTAACAAGATTTGCTACAAATTGTGAAGCTTTTAAACTTACACATTTTTCCCACCATAGATATTAACATACATTTCAAGATATCATGAAAACAAATGGTTAATGCTGGCAGGGTCTTTTTCAGCATACACTAACCTGTGAACTTAACCATTAATCCTACCACTCCACCATTGAACTTTTCTATAACGCCAACTTCTGATTGCAGCTTGCCATTTGCTCAATTATTGCCAAATAGTAACACTGGAAGGGGGGAACGGGATATTTATAAACGTGATCTCCAAAAGCATCCAATAGCATTGTAGTATGAAGCAGAGACGGAGTATATAATTACATTACATACTGAATACCCGCGTCAGCAAAATGTCAAAACATTACTTCTGTGAATTCCAGAGGTTTTATTATATGGAGCCTATAATTCTATAAATTAATCCCATCTTTACATTTAGCATCTTACATCTGTGTTAGTATCTAAGGCGTGCGTAACAGAGGCATCCGATTAAAAAGAAAAAAGAAATAAGAAAATAGCCATCCCACTACATTGCTCTCAACGTAATCCAGCAGGTTACTTGGCAGCTTGTTCCAGAACTGGGATTTTCTTCCATGCTTCTTCTGAATCACTTATCTTCAACGGTGGCAATGAAAACATGCTAACTGTTGAGCTTCCACTTCTAATTTCCTGCAAAACATGCAAAGCTGATACGGTACTCTTCATGTAAAGGCTCTCCATGTACTCAATCTCGGCTAATTCCTTAGGAATCAGCAAACCATCACTGTTGGTAGTGGTTGAAGTAGAAGGATCACAACCTTCAGCCTGGGGACTAGTCTCACCAGAAACTGGAGGATCATTCACTGGGAAGAGGCGGTCCAGCATTGTTTCACACTCCTTTACAAGCTTGTAGAGCAGGTCAGTGATAAAGAAAGGCTGTTGCAAGACCTTCTGAATGAAGGGCAAGCGAATGAGAGCACCAGTTCTCTTGTCATACTTCTTCAGTATTTTCACTAGCCCTGTGGAAAGAAAATTGAGGTAATACTTAGACACCCAGAACGGTTGATTTGAAAAAAGAAAAATTGTATGTAATACAATTAACAATCTTCAATTTATGATCAGAATAACTAACTTAAGGCTGATCATAGAAGCTAAACTTGATTTGGTGGTTTCCGGCAAAAAGTGGCAGAGTAAAGAAACAATAATCACAGCACAACCACATATTATTTATTTTTACACCATGCGCTTTTGTAGCTTTTTCAAACCAGAATCACTTTAGAATTGCAAGTAAACAAAGAGAAAACCCTCTGTTTGATTATGTAAGCTTTAAGATGATGTGACCTTTGATTTTGTATACATTGAAACTGGAATATTTACAAAGATTGGCATCATATTTAATTCGAACATTGACGACAGACTATTATTGAATTGGCTTGCTTGCCGAGTAGATAGAAGAATAAGAAGCCATTATAGAGGTATCAAAGGGGCTAGATGTTCTATTTCGGAAAATGAACATGTTCAAAGCAGATTCTTTATTCCAAGAAAAAGCATATGCTTTTGTCCTACCAACTTGTCCAGTAGAATTTTCAGGAACAATGGACAATTTGTATTGGAAACGAATCCTATTCCATATTAATACTTGACTTTTCCATTGTATTTAGAAGTGCTACAATTCTAAAACGGACTTGGGCCAAGTTTTAAAATGTAAAGAATAAAAATTTTGATATATTTCAATATCAATAAAGAATAACAAATCAATGTAATATCGATGAAGTTGAAAGTACCTGTGTAGTTAAGGGCACTGTAGTTTTCCAGCAAGACCATCTCTCCGTGGAAATCCACAATCTCCTTGCGGATTTTCATCATCTCTTCACTAGAATCCTTCACTTTGGCCACCCTATCTTGTAACTCCTGAATATTTCAACAATAAAAACATTAGAGCTTCCCGTTACAACAGTTTTATGAATAAAACGAATAAATTATACTTTATATGTTTAAACCGCGGTTATCCATAGATAATCAAAGGCTTAAAAAACCAGATATGATCTTCTGATGAAGAAAATCAAGGGAAACTGACATTATCAAATTGCAATAAGAATTTTAGTTTACCATATTACCTAGTGGAAACCGGATATTTTGTTTAATTACTTCACAAATGATTATTCATATTCATAATTTGAAAATCTACCAATTTTTTTCGCAAATTAAAATTAAATTCTATAACAACATAACGATCTTATATTTATTTTAAATTCTAGAAATATTTTAACAGAACACAGCGAAAAATATCAATATTTGATTAAAAAAAAATGAACAAGATAAAATAGCAGAAACTACTTATTTAATTAGAAGTTGATAAAGATTTCAAACTCGTAGGCAAACATTAAAAAGAAAAACGAAATCCTAACACTTAGTATTTACTATTGAATTGGAGGAATTTTAAAATCTAAAATGAAAGAAATCTTCGATGCAACGAAACAAAAAGGAAGGAGGAATTGACGAGAGTACCTTGAGTCTGATAATGTACTCTTCCTCCTTCTCGACGAAGAAGTTGTTGAATTTTTCGAGTTCATTCTCCAACAAGTTCCTGAAGTCGGTCTCGTCCTTGGACATGTCACCGGAGTCGGGGAAGGAATCGCCGTTGGCGGCATCGAGCTTGAGACGTTTGGCGGGACGGTCATCGGCGGCGGGAGGGTCGAAGTGTTTGAGTTTCTTCTTGAGTTCCTTGTAGGAGAGGAACTTGTCGCGCCATTCAGGTAGGGTTTTCTCGATCTGGCAGCTGAGGCTCTTTCCGAATTTCATGGCTTTCCGTTACCGAAGAAACAGAAACGGTACAAATAATTTTTTTATAAAAAAAAAAAGTATGTTTTTGGTATGTGAGAAAAAGAAAAGAGAATGTGGTGTGAGAATGGGAAGAAGAAGAGAGGAGGAAATGGGCGAGAGAGGTGTGGGTGATATAACGGTTAGAGGGAGGGAATATTCGGAGGGTATTGTTGGAATATCCGTGAAAAGAGTATATTTCGGGTTTTATTCCCCTCTCTCTCTCTCTCTATTCTATTGCTGTGCGTTGCACTTTGTGACATGTGTTGTGTGTTTCGGCGAAGGAGAGAGGAGTGGTTGTTTACTTGTCTGTGTTGCTATGCTGCGCTTTTAGATTATAACTTTAATTCAAATTATTTTTAAAATATTAACGTCTTTGATATCTTGATCAAGATTTATAATTAAGCTGGTGTTTAGATTGGATTTGTTTTATTGATTATGTAAATATATATATATATAATCATCTTATTTTATTTGATATTTCCTTTATCTTATTTATAAACAAAAATAATTAATTAAATTATTAAGACTAGAAACTATTTGTTATATACCATAAATTAATGTATTTATTTAATGCATTTCTTTACATGACCATTATACATTGAATTTAAACAAAAAATTTATTGAGATAAATTAAAAAACTTATTTTAATATATTATATCAAAAATATTAAAATAAGTTAAATTTATAAAAATAAATATTTTAAAAAATTATCTTTAAATTCTTTAAATTTATATAATTTTAAAAAGGAGGCTCAGTTTTAATATATAAAATTAATGTTATAAAAATGTTTTATGGGATTCCAGCCTCGTTTACCCAATTACGCTATGCCATTTGTATCTATTATTAAGCAATAAAGACATAAAACATATGAAGTATTTAGTGTATTTAACCATATATTTCAGTTTAATTGCAAGTCTACATTTTGTAAGCAAATTCATGTTAAGAATATTTTCATAATTTATTGCATAACATCTAAGTTTATAAGAGTAGGAGTTAGTGTAAATTACGGTTCTATACAGGATATGGTAGGTAGAGTTAATTAATAGGAAAAACTTATATATATTTTTTTCTTTTCAGAATTGAATAGTATACAAATTGTTAGGCTATTTTTTTTGTATGCTTAACAAAAAAAATTATAAATTCGTAATAAAATAATATTATTTTTATTTATCTATTTGAAAATAAAAATTATACAAATCCAAGAATTTATTTGTTTTTATTAAAATATAATATTAATTTAATAATTTATCCTCTATTGACGAGTTGTTTATTTTTTGAACTATTCAAACAATATAAATATTTTTACTAAAAAAATACGTTAATAATTTATACACAAACAAATAAAATAGAAATGTATTTTTCTATAAATAGATAAATAAAAATGAAGACAATAGTATTAATGTTTTATTAAACTATATTTCATTGGAATTTTATATTTAATTGTAAATCTTTTATCTCATAGTTTTTCGTAATGAAATAATATTTTACAACTGTTTTTAAGCTTTGAAACAAATAAATAATAAAAAAATATTTTGTTACAAAGAAAAAAAATGTACAATTAATTAAGATATAATTTAAAAACATGAACCAAAGTCTATTTAAAATATATAAAAAAGTTAATTTATAAAATGAAAAATACTAAACAAAATTTTAAACAAATAAATTTGTTAAATAATAATATATTGTAATGATTCATAGTCGAATACAAGAAAAAGAATCTGAAACTATCTGCCATATAAACACGATGAAGGCACATTTGAAGAAATTATTTTATAAAACAATCACTTAATTTGAAATTATAACTAAATTTAAATATTAATTATCGCGAAATTAGAAAAAGAACAAAACACTTACTCCCGAGATAAAAGCGAAGTTTGCTAATTTATGACGCATGGTATAATTCCAAGGCATTTGGAATATCCTTATAAGGCATGGCCAATGGGCATGCCATGCGACAGCGCCACGTGTTACTCGAGTAGTGTGCTCTCTAAAATCGCCTTTTTTATTTTTAATTAAATATTCCTCGCCACCTGTCCTCTGCCTACTGGCTATCTGTTAATGTCCGCATCTTTCGCTGGATATTCTTCGACTCTGTTTCGATCAAGAAATATATCGAGTTTTTAAAACGCTTTCAAATCTATTGCTTGTGTAACTTCAAAAGAATGTTGGGTTTTGGAATGTTCAGATGCAATTTTTAAGCATCGTTTGGATGAAAAAATTTAAAGAGATAATGTAAATTTTAAGATCATTTCAAATGATTTTTTAAATATTTTGTCTTAATATTAAATAAAGAAAATTTATAAATTTTAAGTTCTGAGAAGTGTTGTTTCTCTAATATTAATTCTCATTCAACGTGCTTCAATGATCTTTAAAAAACTTGACACGATTTCATAACAATTAATAACTTTATGCAATTTCAAAAAGTTGAATCACAGATGGTAGAACTGGAAAATAAATATTATAGTATGCGAGAATCACAGTATCACAGAGTTTAAAACAATGCTACAAGATAAAAAATTAAAATAAATTTTTGCATTATACTATGTCAATTCCTTGTATTTGTGTCAAATTTTGTATTCACAAATGTTCACCCAAACAATCAAAGTTGTAATGACAAAATTTAGAATTCAATGTTTCAATTTCTTGCTATTTCTATTTTTTAAAAAAATTAAAATTATCCATCCAAACACCTTATGATTTCTTAATTTTATTTTTTATTTTTAAATTAAAGTTTCAATTTAATAACTCATAACAACATTAAATGATACATTTTAATGAAACAAAACTCTAGTTTGATTAAAAATAGCATCAAAGTGACTAAATTGCACTTAAGTTTTGCCTTTTTAGAATATGCTAGAATAAGTAATTTTTAAAAAATATATTTTAAAATCAATTAAAAATAAATTATGTTAAACATTTATTAGGTAAATTAAAAACATGTCAAAATATGTCATTGATCTTCTTGAAAATAAAGAAATTTTGAAATTTATTTTTTATAATTTTTTTGTCATAAAAGAAAATATAAGAAAAATGAAGACGTGTTTTGAATGTTATGTTTGATTTGCAGAAATAAAAAATAAAGAAATTGTATTTTCGTTATTTATTAAGATTAAAAAATAAATCGATTGTAAGGTCTAAAAATTCGACTATTCATTAATTCATGCAAGGACATTGATTATAGTATTCTCTCGACAACTATATTGTAGAACTATATATTTGTAGATTAAAAAATTGTCAGTTATTAAATATATTAATTATATTTTTTTATTTAATTTAATAGTTAAATAATTAAAAAAATTATAATTAAACTATTCTTTTATAAAATAATTTGTAACTTATTTACGAATTTATTGATAAATAAATTAGTAGAGCATTAAATATGAAATAAAAAAAGTTTATAACTTTTAAAAACTAATATTTAAAGATTTTTAATATTTGTATAATAAATTAATTTTATTTTTTTATCTTCATATTAACAGTAATTTTTATCTTTTTATATTTTTTTATCTTTTTATTACTATTAGTTAATAATATATATTATTATAAAAAAATTATTTAATTTAATAAATAATACTTTAAAAAATAAGAAATTAATTATTTGAATAAATAATATTATTTTTATTAAAAAATATATTAAAATAAATTATATTTAATTTTAATATTACGTAAATATAATAGTATACATCTTTTTAAGTCATTGAACATAAATCAATCAACTATATAACTAATCTACTAACTAGTTTAATTTTATAAATTATTTATACAATTATAAAATTTCACTTAATTTGATGATTAAAAATTATAAATTTGTAGCTTTTAACTCATTATACTAAACATAGTCTTAGAAAAATATCAATGTTATGTTAATTAAGAAGCATTTACTCTCTTTTTTTTATTAAGTTGTAAAATTTAAAAAAAGTTATTGGACAATTTTAATGTCAGCGGAAACCGAGTTACATTATCTATTATTCCATGTTTCCCTACAAAAATTAGTGGAGAGCGTGACATAAATTGTTATGCTAATTTACTTGATATCATATACATAAACATGTCATGGTCAAAAATTATAACCATGAAATTGTGATAAATAATGATGGCTTTATTTTGAAGAGAAATAATTGATTTTCCACATTTCATGATCCATTTGTTACGAAAGAACCAACAAGATTGTGCCCTTCCAATTCCATCATATATACTTTTGTTTTGGACAAGTAGAATTCTACCCACCTTGTGAGATTATGTCAGCACACTCTTTTGCTCTACCTAATGAATACAGATAAACACAACCACAAGGAAGAGGGTTTGATTGATGAACTGCTGCTGGGTTTGCAGGGAAACAACTACCGACAAAAGGGGACTACGCTTTCGTGTCTGCCTGTGGAAAAAACAACTCAAGATTGGGTATGTGATCATAGTGTCTTAGATCCTAGTTTGTGGTTTAAGTTTAATTATTTTTAAATAACAAATTATTATTAAAAATGTATTTTTAAATACTATAATTTAATTTAATTTTTCAATTTGAGATAAATAAAACAATATTTTATTTACATATTTTCTCTAGTATTCTAAAAACATTTTAAAAAATATCTCTTTTGATTTTTCCACCATTTTTTGAAATATTTATTTATATATAATATTTAAAAATAATATATACATATATATATTATTTTAGAAAAATTACAGATATATAACAATCATTTATAACAATCATTGATAATTTTTAAATATTAAAAATTTTTAAAATTAAAAAACATGAAATTGAAAAAATTATAAAAAATTGCAAAGTACTAAAAAAACGTTATTGACATATTTTTCTATTTTTTTCAAAATTTTATAATTTAATATTTTAAAAAACCATATAAATAAGGGCATTTTTCATTCAAACCTTATTTTTTGCTTTTAAAAATAATAAAACATGCTCTAAATCTCTGAGGCCTCTCTTACTTTCATTAACATGAATGTTTGGAAGAATGCTTCTCCATCGTAAACCTATATTTTAAAAACTCAACTGTGATTTTATGAGCAGAACAAGCAGCTTCGGTATATTAAATTAAAATTAAAATTATTTCTCAAACTTGCGTTATCATAAATGGCAAAGAAAATTGTTAAATTAGTAATTTTATATTAATCTTTGCTATAAATATTTCCAATAATAAAAAAATCGTAAAAATGAATCACTTAAAACTATTTTATTTTAAAAAATCTTACTTCGTTGTCCCAAAGTCGCTTGTCAGTTGTCAATGTTAGC